GGCAGTCCGCAACATATGCGTATGACTGGCAGCAATGGTTTCACGCAATGGCAGAGCACGAACGGGCCCTCGGGTGGCGGTCAGCAATTTTATGTGCCACCCGAAGCGGCATACCCGCCGCCACAGCAACAGACACCACAACCGCCACAACAGCAGCAGACAATACGTTGCGCGGAAAATGGTAAATCGTATTTGGAATTGGGTTGCAGCAGTCCGCCACCAAATTTAAATAATTCGCCTGTTGTGCCACCACCACCCTTCGCCAATCTACATGTGGCCACCGCGAATCTCGACGCTCGCCATCCGTTGAAACGCTGCTGTGATGGCCGTGGCACGTGGTGCAATACAAATAAGAATTGCTACAAGGATCTGCGTCTGAAGATACGCAACCTATCCATGTTCAAGTTATCGCGCTTCCGACAAGTATCCGAACAGTCACTCTATCGTTCGGTGCTAATCTGCAATACACTAAAACGCATCGATCGCGAAATCGAAACAGAAGCTAAGGAGATGCATCAAGCAGCGGCACAGGCTGCTGCCGCACAACACCAATACCATCAGCATCTGCATCCGCCGCATCATTTGCAGCATCACTTGAGTCCACAACAGCCACCGCAACAGTTGTTGGTGCCACAGCAGCCACATACCATGCTGCATCAACAGCACCAGGACTATGCGCCACCAGTGATGAACTGTGCGCGTCTCTCCAACATGGACTATCAGGTGCAACATCAGCCACCAACGCTACTGCAACAACAGCCGCCGCAGCACTTCGCACAACATCTGCCCCACTATCAGAATCAGCAACCCGAACGACTCGACACGCCGCCGCCATATCTGACCGCGCCTACACAACACCTACAGAAACCCACCAGTGGCGGATTTGCACTCAACAATAGCATTAGTAGTATTAATGTAAATAACTGTGATTCTACGAATGGTGCAACGGCAATACACCCTTATGACCACTATCCCTTTCGGGAATCGCAATCTGGGCGCGCAACTCCATTTCCCTGCCAACCGGTTATGTCGCCCGCGCCGCCTTCAACAACACCAACCCCGGCAACAACGCAAACGCAACAGCACACGGTTGCAACGACAATGAGTGCGTCAAATACAACAACAGCAGCGCCCATGCAAAACGCCTGCTCAACAGCGGCGTTACCAAGCGCGTCCATCAGCATTGGTACGACGTCACAAGTAACTACCGCCACGAAGTCCATTGCCACTACCGATAACAGTGATTCTGGTTATGCGGACGATGATTCAACACGCTCCATCAACTGGAGTTCGGTGCTCAGCTTATCGTCACAATCCGCCTTGGATCCACTCAACAACAACGACCTCTTCGCCATATTGCCGCCTGCGTTATCGATAACCAGCCCAGCCACAGCGACACCAGTGCCCGTAACGGCAGCTTTAACAGCGAACACTAGCGCGTCAGATAGCACAACGCAGGCATCGGCTGTTGCCATTAGTGGCACTTTCACCACCGTGCAATCCACGTCGGCATCCAGCACTAGCGCAAGCGCATCAACTACCAGCAGTAGCAGCAGCAGTGCAGCATACAACACATGTACCTCTTCGTCAACGGCAACATTCACCACGCTTTCGACCATCTCCTCAGCGACGCATTCGCTTACCTCATCATATGTGAGCAGTATGAGCGCCAATGCAGCGGCCGCGTCAGCATCCTCGACGTGGGAGTACGGCTTCCTCGATATGGAATTCGGTTTAGGCTCAGAATTCACCGAACTTGTGCCCAGTTGTAAACTGAATTCAGATGAGCTCTTTAAGAGCAGCCTAACACCAGTGGTTGCCGCGTCACGTTATTCCTCCGTGCATGACAATGAGCTAGAACAACCGGCACACATTATGGTCGGTAGTTAGTATCAATTGTAAAGCAGCGAAACAATGCAGGAGACGTGGTGCCGAGCTTTATACTACTGTGACGGCGGTACGTACTGCAACGCCAACAGGTGGCCTTGCTGGTGTTTATGACCGCTAATGGGTGCGCCGGGCACATGGTGCCCATGGAGAGCATGGCATACATTGTGGCGAGTAGCAGGCGCGCTAAGCCACTGAGCAACTAGCAGCGGGAACACATAACAGCTGAAAATATGTTAAAATACATTGTATATGTACAAACATATATACATATATACATGTGTACATATGTACATAACTTTATTGTGGAAGCGAGAGCAGCGCTCTGGCGCTGCTTCACTAGCATATGTATTTGTTAGAAATGTAAAACCATATATGCATGCTTCTTTGTATTAGAAATTTTACTGCAAGCAAAATTAGTTCGCTTAAGTATGAAATGCTCAGGTTGTGAACTTTTTTTATTAGAAACTATGAAACAAAAACTCTATGTGCAGCATGTAGGGAGCATAAAGCGGCAGCTAAGGCGCATAATTTGAAAAGAAATTGTCGTTTTTGCCATTAAAATGTACTTATTTGTGAATTAAAAACATTTAAGCTGACACTAAAAAGTACTTAATTTACTGTGTTTTAAAACACAAAATAACTAAAAGATATGCTTGTACAATTTGCAATATTTAGAGGCAAGATTTATTTTGCAAATATTGCAAATAGGTAAAATATATCGATAATGATTTTGTTTTTGTTGATTTTGTTGGATTTAGTTGTGAAATAATTGGAGCATATTTTTATTTTACACTTGAATTAGTTCATATTTCATTAAAAGATATTTTAATTTAATTCCAATTATAATATATGTATGAAGAAAAATTTCTTTCGAATTATGCGCTGAACAAATGCAGCTCTCGAAATCTTGCTAGAAGAAATTTAAGAGAAATGCTTGCATATTATCTTTTAGAGTTTTTCAAATAAAAACATATGTTTATTGACTTTTCTCTGCAACTTTATGCTTAAAAAAACCGGTTGCATTAAAAACTCAATATTATTTTAAAGCAAAAACTTTTTAAACCTCTTTTTTGACACTTCAGCAACTCAATTGCATTAAAAACTTTTAGCATTTTGGATTAAAAAGTTATATTGTCGTATGTGCCTGGGCAGAATAAAGACATATACAACATTATAACTTTTGACTTTAAAGTTTTGCATAAGTCAAAATTTTCTTATGTATTTTGTTTATATATAAACATTTATTAACATTTTCTCAATTTTTTTAACTCAAAACTGTATTACATACTCGTAAGACGTTATAGTAAAACTAGCTGAATTCTAAAATGTATATAATAAATAAATAGGTTATATGTATATGTAGTAAATACATTTTTTAACTATGCAAGTACATACGTTACATTGTATATAATAAGATGTTGGCATAACTCTTAATATGTAACGGCGTTTATGCAAAATAAAATAAATAAAATGAACAAAATGTAAAATACTAAAGTAAAAATTCAAAACTCAATGTAAGGATCAAGAAATGAGTATGAAATCAACCAGATTGTATGTATATATACATATATACTACTCATGTATATTTTTAAAAATCATATGTGAGACTTACTATATATAATTGTAATGAGTTCTTGTGTATATGTACCTATATTTAAAGACAATTCCTTATACAATACATAAAAAGTTATATTTTGGCATTAACTATGTCACTACAAGTGCGAATTAAGGAATAGACAGAACTTCATGATAATGAAGGAAATTATTATTATTTCTATAGAGTAAAGATAACTATTATTATAGTATTTCTTAGTTTAGGCATAAGTATTAGTATTTTTATTTATAAATGGAACAAATATTTAGTAATTATAATAATAATGTTTTTTAAAAAGAAAGTATAAAAAATGTGGTGAAAAAACAAGCAAAAGCATGGCAAATATATGAAAGATTTGTTTTTCAAATTTAACCATTTGACTTTCATTTAAATGGATTTCATTTTTTTGTAGATGGAGATGGATTGCACGTAATTGGCTTTTAAAAATATCTTATAAGAAATTTACCTTATAAGATAAGAGACGACGACAAATAAGAATACGAATTTACGATAGTTGACACAAGGTTTGACTAATTTGAATGTGTGAGTCTCTTAACAAAAAGGGTCTTAATTTCTTATTTCCTGTATATACAAATTAATATTGTTGTTATAACGGATATCTAAACCCTATTTGGAGAAAATCTCAAATTAATAGTCATCGAAGTTGTATAACGGGATCTTCGACATTCCGGGCTGTTTTGATGGAATGGCACTATGGGCAAAAAGTACAGCGTTGCCGTTTTGCTCCGGTCGTACCAAAATTGGTAGTTCCATTTTTTTTTTGTTTTTTTTGAAGAAAATATTTTCTTATCAGTATTTACAATACAAGTTAATTTTAAGATTTGTTTCGGTATAACAATAAACATATTAACATGTCATTTACAAATTGACAAGTTTTTGTAGCGATTAAAGCTCTCCTGGAAGCGAAAATTTCGTATGGAGTGGTTCAAAATATTCGATTAGCTTGAAGAAAACGAAGGACGTGCATTAAATGTAGCTACTTTAAATTGGCCTCTTAGGTTTATTTCTACATACATATTTGTTCAAATGGAAATATAATGTTTTAATTGTAAAGCAATGTTTTGATGATAAAAAAATTTGGTAGTTTGGTACCTAAAGATTTCCTCAAATGGCAACACTGAAAAAGAGTGGGTTGGTTTCATGGAGCACAGAATGAGAAGGTGAGAGTCATGGGATTCGACAATTAATCGATTGGTTCGACCAAGTGGAAAAACGTTCCCACTACAATCGGGTCTAAGTAACCGGAACGAACCCGGATCCTTATCCTGTCAAGGACTGTCAACTCGGCACCATACCACGAAATTACTTCAGGAATGTTTTCTGCTGCCACAACAATAACAACAACCAAGTGACAAGAAAACCCAAACAAAAATATTTTTCCATTAACAACGAATTGACTAAATCATTTGAGACATATTTCATAAATATTTGCAGTATTTTTTAGTAATCACTATTTTGGTTTTTGTGGAACTTTTAAAGGATTCAAACAATATACTTCATGTGTAATATTCCATATGATTACACATTTATTCACATATAATATGACAAAATCTGAAGTATCATATCTGATAAAGTTCACTAACTCCAGCAGTACTCGCCGAAACTATATGACAACTGGTTTTTTTCGTAGATACAACAAAATAATCTAACTACATCTTCTAATAGCTACCATGCGTTTGTTTTAATAAAATCTTTAAATATACATACTAATGTCAGCTTTAATGCATGTCATTATGTTACTGATTATTAGCCTTGTTCAAATTCACTTGTTGTCGCAGTAGTCCCCGCATATGTTCTGTTACAGCAAAACCCTGACCATGACCTGGTATTATATAATTGCACAACTCGATCATTCGCAAACGTTGTATTCGCTGAGATTCCGCATTTTCACTACCTGCTTCCAGCCAAATAGTTGGATCCGCAATGTCTTCAACACGTTCGAATAAATCACCACAAACTCCTACAACTTCCCCCAGATTAGTGCCTCGCACCAATACCGACACACAATTGAGTGTATGGCCTGGTGTGCGTACTACAACCACATCATCCCCACACAATTGAAAAGGTTCCGAATCACCACGAGTTAATGGACAATCTAAATACTTGTCACGATTCGAGACACAGGCGCCCATAAAATGCCATTGCGCTGCACGAAAGAGATAGTTACAGCCGTTATGATCGGAATGACCATGTGTACAAACAACAACATGTATATCCTGTGGCTTGAGCCCATGTAAGTTTAGAAGGGCATCCGTTAGACGTTCTCCATCCCAGGCGGTGAGTGTATCAACGATGACGTTCCGCCCATTCCGTGTACGTATTAGAGTACAGGTGCAATTGGCCCGCATGGCATTGGAATCATTGCTATCTGGTCTGGAATAACCCGTGAATAAAATATGAACATAATTTTGTTTAGTATTCATTGTAATGGGCAATGGTTTTAGAATTATTAAAAATTTTACTAAGATGAGACGCCCTCTGACATTTCACCGGCGATGTGTCGTTAAATAAACAAATATATCGAAATTTAATTTATCGAAATCTCTCTACAATTTCTGTAAACTTTATAGGTATATACAATTTAAATATATAATTTTAAATTACTCACATATATTCCAAATGTAATATTTGTTCGTTAAAAATGAAAATGAAAATATTTAATTTCGGCTTTCTTGCTGTAATGACTATTACATATTCTTCGAAAGAAACTTACTCGATATTAAAACGATATAGGTAGTTCCACTCACATACCTATTATCAGCTGTGAGTTTCATTGACATTTAACAATAATAAACACTCACTTGGTTTGCACATTATTAAAAAACAATATAGAATAAATAAACAATCAAATTGTAAGTATATAATGTGTTCAATAAACTCTACTTTTATACATTTACACTTAAATTTTTATAACATGCGTAATTTGCTAAAAACCATTAAACATTTTGTGAAATGATGTGATTGTATAAAAAAACTTGCAAGTTTTAGTACTGCAAAAAGTGAAGTGGTAAGCGTTCCAGTACCTTTTTATATACGGTTTTTAAAAATTAATATATTTTTTAGATTCAATCGCATGGCGTGCTATAAGCGAACGAAATGTTTACTGGACAACAGTGCCACAAACAGTAAGCGTCGGCGGCGATGTCTTACAATTGAAGCTAAAATAAAATTATTGGATCGCTTAAAAGTTGAAGAACGTACAATGGATTTGAGTCGCGAATATGAAATTAACGATAGTACAATACGTTCACTTATAAGAAATGAAAGCCAGATTCGTAAGTACGCAGAGCAGTGTACAAAGCATACATTTCGCTCTGTGGCATATATCCCGCATGATGAAGTACAAGAAAAAATGGAACGTCAATTGTATGTGTGGTATGCAGAACACTTACTGCATGGTGGTACACATAACATTACCAGCATTAGTGCCAAAGCAAGAGAAATATATAGATCACTGAAGGATAAAGAGCAAATAGCTAATTTGAACAAGAACAAACAAAGAAATTACAATGGATTGCAAGTAGAAAGCCGTGATTTCAAAGCTAGCAAAAGTTGGTTTGTAAAATTTCGTAAACGTTATGATTTAGATTTTAACACTACCTACAAAACTCAACCAATTGACCACTCTGTGTGCAACATATACCCAATACAATTTGCTAAGCTATTGCAGGCAGAAAATTATCAACCATGTCAAGTATTCGCCGCTTTTGAGTTATCCTTTGCCTGGAAATGCTTGCCAAGTAGTATATCCATCGCAAAAGAATATAAATCCCGAGCTAATGATCGCATTAGCTTGTTCATCTGTAATAATGCTCAAGGTGATTTCTGTGTCAAACCGATGTTGATTAGTCGTACACGCGTACCGCATTACGTACGCCACACAAAAAAAGGCGAATCGCCCATATTTTGGCGTTGTAGTGGACGTCAAACACAAAGGTTGCCAAAAGTGACGCCATCACATTTCCATGATTGGCTCATACAATGTTTCACACCAACCGTACGTAATTATTTACAAATTATGGAAATGCCAGAACGCTGTTTACTTTTATTGAATAGTGACTTGCGACAAATGGTACTACCAACATACGATGAATCTTTTTTAAGCGTAAAATTTCTACGTTACAAAACTACACAGTCATTACACCCAATCGCACAAAGTGTGTTGTCAACTTTTCACAGCAAATACTTGCGCCGATTTTTCGAACATTTGGTGCAACGTCTTGTAGAAAAGACCCAAGCGGATTTGTACAAAGCCTGATGCGATTGAAAACATACATGAGGCGTTGGAAGACATCGGTGTTGAATGCTGGAAAAGTGGCTGGTATCAGCTTTGGCCGAAGGTGAGTTCATTGTTTTCTCTTATTTACTGCAGAAATATATCTTAGTCACATTGAGGTTAAACAAGAAAAAAGTTTCTCGTCAATGTGATAAGAAAGATGTTTGCTGATATCAGAATAAGTAAACAAAAATATTATTGTTAAATAAATTTTTTTCTCAGATTGGAACAGAGCCATGTCACAATTCACAACTGGCTGATGAAATAACACTTATTGCAATTAATGCCAGGCAACTACCGGGAAACGGATTCGCGGATATGACTATTGATGATATTAAAGAATATTTAAAACTTGGCGAAAGCAGATCAAGCGAAGAAACTGAAATACCAAAAGAGACCGCACAGCAAATCAGTGGAGCTAATATTGAAAAATTTCAGTGCTTAAAGTCTGCGGAACCAGCAGATCAGAAAGGAAATGAGGAACTCATCAGCTTATGCTCAGAAAATGATACGCATTCAAGTGATGCTGACATCTTTATAAATAATGTCATAAAAGAAGTTAGTGATAACGAAATATCCATCCGATTTGATGGCAGTGATGAGCAATCTGATGAAGAAGCAATTATCAAATTTGAAACTGAAGACTTTAATGAAGTTGAGCGTAAGACGCAAAAGCCTACACGCAACAATACAACAATTCTAAATAATAGCAAAGCATGTGAACAAATACAAATAATTAAAAAAGCATTGGGAACTATTAGACACTTTAGGTAAACTCGAAACACAGACAGATTTACCACAATTCATAAGTGGCTTAAATGACCTAATGCAGCCTTATGCAGAATTGAAGAAAAAACTTTTGCAACCAAGTATAAAAGATTACTTCAGATAAGACAGCAGCACTAGTATTAATTTGGGTATTAAAGACTTATTTTATTCTAAAAATCAGATTAGTTCAGTATGCAGTACGTTGTAGCAGTATGTTGTAGCAGCTGAGTAGCCCACTCTCCAAATAATTTTGAGAGCTGCTGCTGAGTTGACATTCATTGGCAGAATAATTGGTTCCTTTTCATCAATGGGAAAACCTCGAAATTCCCACAACTATCAGAGAAAATTTCCGCCACCCTATTCGCGGATGATTGTATAATATTGACGTCAGGCAATGAAATTGATTGCATGTGTTCAAAAGTAAAGAGCTATCTCACCGATCTTTCTCGCTTCTTCTCTGCGAAGAGTATAACACTCTCCCCCACGGAATATGCAGCGACTATATTCACGAACTGGACGAAAAACTACAGACTGGATCTTAATGTAACAGTCAATGACTTTAAAATTCTCACTGTCAACAACCCAAAGATTTTATGCCTTACGCTTGACAACCTATTCTCCTTCACTCCGCATGCTGAAATGTTTTCGTAGAAATCATCTTCGCAGTCGTCTGCTTGAAGCAGAGCCGCCTCCTAGGAGCATCAAGAGATCATTCCTTAATTACGTCGAAGGCATTGAACAATACGCCAACCAGACTACGGACGCAACTAACTTCTTACACATACTGGCCGCCATTCACAGTGAAGCCATTAACATCTTCACCAACTCCCTGCCAGCATAGTTGCTCTTAGATTCTTGAGTAACCCTTGCATAACTTCGTATTGGATATTGTAGCAAGTTAAACTCCTACTTATACAGAATTGACGCCGATATACCAAATATATGCATGTCCTGCAGTGACTCTCCGCATGACTCTAACCACCGCTTTGCATGTTGGTATAACGGATTGTAGCTTGTTTGCTCCGACCCCGTCGAAACAGCACGTTTCCTAGTCCTACCGTTAGATGACTTCAATTACAATCAACTTGAACCTAACCTCTAAGCGGGGATTAAATACCGGCTGCAACAACAACAAACGCTTCTAGGGTGCTGGCGGTGATTACCGTTAAATTGTACTAAATTAAATGTTGTCTTTGTATAATGAGTGATTTTTTTTTTTGTTATAAGAACTTATTACATAAGGGGTAAATATAGGACTATATACTATTACACGGCAGTCGGGTTGCCGTAACCGGAGGGACCTGCATTTTTATCCAGCCAAGGACTGTCACCTCGGCAGCAATACTCTAAATAACCTCAGCAATATTTTTTTGTTTGCCCCTACAACAACAACTTACAATATTAAAAATTAATACAAACACTGGTAGCCTTACCGTTTAAAAACGAGCAATAATAAATTCATAATTCGCTTTACCTAAAAGTTTGAATATGGGCGATTCGGGCGCAACTTCTGGAGCATCAGCAAATTTAGAAATGTTTTGTAAACATTAAATCAACAATTAAATGCCCAAAATCACACAGACACCCACTGTTTTATAAGTTGTTTACATCATTGTTGCGTTTGTGGCGAAGAAACCAATTTGAAATTCAAAGCAACTAACAACATCTTCACGAATAACTATTTAAAGTGCATGAACAAGTTAAAAACAATGCAAAACTCGCACAATACGAAAAGAATTACAAAGAGATGTTGTCATCAACGTGATACTGAAATACAATGCAAATGAATTTGACGGTCTTCTTCGATACGCGATGAGCTAGTCGACCTTGACCGCCAACCAAGATTAGTGCACGACAAGATATACATATGTATATTTGGTTTTTTCATAAAATTATAAGTAAGGCACATACTGTTGACACGCGCAATGTGAAAACTACATTTCCATTTGCCGTTGTGTGTGATTGCGGTGAAAGTGAGAAATTCAGCGCATGAACTGCTAATAAATGTGATTGTTAACTTGCTAAATACTCAACTGGATTTTTTTTTTATTATTATTAAGTGTAGTGTACGGTATTTAGTAATAAAAATGAAAATATTATTTTACTGTTGATTTTATGCATTTATCTACTACTTTACACAATTCACGTTTAGAATTTCTAGAGTACCAATCAGTTTGAACTATAACGGGAACGGGGAAAAATGTTTCAATACTCTCGCAACATCTTGCTACAAAGTATTTTAGTTTAGTTCATCTAACGGTTGTTTGTAACACCTAAAACAAAGCCAGATTGCTACAGAGTAATACAAAATATATATACATAAATGATCAAGATGACATAACGAATTGAATTCCGAGTGACTGTCCGTCCGTTCTATATAACGGTTATGTTGAAAACTATTAAAAGTGCGATAACTTAATAAACGGTACGGAAGGTTAACATAAGACTCGGTGTAAAAGTTGAACAATAGTCGTGAAACCATCTACTTTTATGTGAAATTTATTATACCAGGAACTCTTCGACCAATATCAATCGAATTCGGTGCATAATATAAGCCTAACATTCTTATGCTACGATGTAAAAATGGCTAAAATCAGACTACCACCACTACTAGTTTCCATACAACACAATACTTTTTCCTTAGATTTCCAATATTGATACCCTCATCAGGGTATATTAAGTTTGTCATAAAATTTAAACCAGGAATGAAACGTCGAAGACACTATAAAATATATGTATATAAGTGCATATATAAATCGTCAACATGACCAGCTGAGTCGAGAGATTTAGCCATGCCCGTCTGTATATACGCGAACTAGTCCCTCAGTTATTGATTTTCTCCCCAAGAAGCTGCCGATAACGGACCACTATAGCATATAGCTGCCATACAAGCTGAACGATCGGAATCAAGTGTTTTATTTGACGAAATATCTTCAAGAAATTTAGTATGGATTATTATCTAAAGCAATGGTGTAAACTCATCAATATAGCATATAGCTGCCATACATATAGACAGAAGAAAAACAATTACTTGTACAGAATATTTTGTATTTGTGAAGGGTATATAGCTTGGGTGCCATCGAAGTTAACGTTTTATCTTGTTTAAATATTCGGGTTGTAATTCATTCCCCCGGCTATGATTTTTGCACATCGCAAGAGTTTAAAATGTTCGGTTATACGCGAACTTAGCATTTTCTTACTTGTTAATTTTATTTATATTTTATTTATGCTTACACACATACGTACATATGTGCATACCTTAGAAAATAATTGTTACAATTTAAAGCTTTTCGAGACCGTTGTAGGTACTCATAAAGCGCATAGAAAATAGAATTTTCAAGTTTACGACTGCCCTAAGCATAACCAGTGTTTATACGCTTCAATGCATTATTTAGCATTTATTCATGTATGTATGTATGTATGTCTTTATTTATGTATATCATTCTGGCTTTTATTGAACTTTCTTTTTATCAGCGATTCGAAAAGAAATTTTGTATCTAAATTTCGAATTTCATACATTTTTCCGTTATACGCTTTGAGATTGTCATAGAAAATGTAAATAATATATTAAAATTTGCAATACTCTCTTCCTTGTAAGCATATATCACAGACGGAGGTATGTACATATGTATATACATATATGCAAATGTAAGAATGTAAGCATATTTTGCCGCATGGCACTGTATCGCATAGTCACGCTTTAATTAGATACATTTATACTTTAATGCAAAGTATAGCTCAGAATACAGGCCGTAACGCAAGACTCACACATAGCAATCATTAAAGCGGTAACCGCGCTCAATCACCGCAACTAAGTACATACTGACTTTTTCTGCGCGCTGTCAAACTAGCAATCTAACTCTGCAAAGAATAATGATTTTAATTGAACTTCAGTATGCCAGAGAATTAATTCATTTACGTTCTCTGGTTTTACAATATCGTAATGTCCGCCCGTGGTCTAGCTATTGATAACTTGTGCGAAGATTGAGATAACATTAAAACTTTGCTACGCAGACTCCTCGAGCCAAATTTTTTTGCAAATGGACGTTTTGGAACGATAAAAAATAGTATGTGGTCTTCATCTTAATCTCTTTCAAAGTACCCTCGTGAAACCCCTAGAAAATTTTTAAGGAATATCAGTTATATCCATTTGTGAATCTCCAAAAGTAATTTTTTTTTTATATATATCGAAGTAATTTATATTTGAGAATATAATCCGAAAATTTTAAGGTTATCCGACGAATAGTTTCGGAGATATGAGCGAATTTGTAAGAATTTCATAACTTCGGCTGCCAAAACTTAAAACGCTTTCGCTCGAAACGCTGCAAAACGAGTCGGCAATGAAACGGCTGGACCGATCGACTTGAAATTTTCACACGAGCTTCTTAGATATATTTTTCAGGTAATAATCAAAGGATTCAAAGAAGTTTTAAGCTACTCTGTAGTATAAAAATTTAAAAAAAAAACTACTTTTATTTGAGAAACCGCTATTTTGTCAAAAATAAATATTTTGACTAGTCCTTCGATCATTACCTGTACTCATCTATAATGCTAATAAAATTTTTTGGATATGAGAAGATGTTAAGCAGAAAAACCTTATTCACAAACACCAACACCTTTTGTCGGAAGTGCTCCTAGAGATCAGCTACAGAAATGAGGGAATCCAGAATCTAAAAATAGATTGCCGATTATTAAAGTACATTTATTTTGATTTATTAAATAAAAATCCCCTTTAAAAAAACACAAAAAAAAACTAAAATTTCCTGACTTGCAAGTGGATATAACCTCTTAACATAAGAAGAATACATGTAATCACTTTAAGTCCTAATAATTCCCCTAAACCTGGCTGATGAGAGCACTGACTATAGACACTCTCAGCTTATAAATAGAAGATGCTGAAACATCAAACAGACACAAAGAATAATTTTGAGTTCTGTAACTCGCTCTCTTCTGTATATAATATATAGATAAATAACTCAAAATTAGTATCGGGCTGAAGACCTCCATCTTCCGAAGGTGAGATTTTAAAACTTGTAGAACATTTCATTCATGCAATTATATATATAAATAATATACATTTTCTTTTAATTCCGAAATAAAAAACATGCACACGTTTGTAGCTGTCTTTTCAATAGAAAAAGAAAACCAAATCTACAGGTGTCATCTGAAAAATTATAAAAAAATAGCACAAAAGAATTCAAACAAAAAGGTAACAAATTCCTTCTATTTAATCTCTGACAGCGGCGTTTACAGGCATACTAAACTGTCAGTCGCATTCTCAGCTCTTTTCTCAGCCATTCATTTTTTTATATTTCGAGTGAAACACAAACAAACTTCGGTGACAGACATAGTACCTATATGCACAGATCAAAACAAAATGTAAACTTGTTACCAAAGCACAACGGGTATTTACATATGTACATTGATTTGTTGTTCACAACAACTAGATACTCCACTTAACAACGAAATAACCTGCTAGCCTGTGATACTTTAGACTCCCTTGTAATGTATTGTACATAGTTTATTCGCTTACAACTATTGACTGCTTGCCGAACGCATTGGTGGCACTGCAACGAACATAAGTAAGTCAAGTGTCTATACGGTGGCTTCTGATAAGTTGGTTCGGCTGATATTTACCACTTTTTGTATTAATTTAGTAATGATTGGTCTTCCGCATTTGAAGGAACCGTTAGGTAAGAGGCTATTTCTATTGATTTAAATATTTTTATTATCATCTTCCAGATTTACACTTTTTGTTAAACTAGACCACGCCCGGATAGTCTTTAGTTCCAACAGTGATTTTTTATAGCCTCCATCGACTTATAAGGAAAATATCGCGTTGGAAATGAAGACATCTTATTAGATCAAACAACGATGAATTCTTACGTTATCGAACGTGTCTTATGTGAACTCTACTCTTTTACAAAAAACTACTGTTTTCTAATATAAAATTAGAATCGGAGGTGTCTACAATTTTAAAACAACATTCCCGATGTATTAAGGGGTTAGGGGTAGTCAGAGGCACGAAAAAATTAGAATTTTCAGCAATTTTTTGTTGCTATAAGTCATGCTATTTTACAAAAGTAGTAATATAGCATTAGTATATAATGTTTTGACTTGAAGTCACTAAAATTTCAACAAAAAAAATTTTGATTTCCAAATGTACAGCTGTGTGTGTTGACCCAGTTCCAAAAAAAAAGGTGCTTGCGGTGACAATCATAAGTCCTTGGAGATTCATCTAAAATCAATCGGATGAAGAAAATTATTATTATTCAAAATTTTTTAAAAATTAACAAAATGACGGCTTCAGGAAATATTTTTCTAGATTTTTGGGAAAAAATCAACAGTTAAACAGTAGGTATTAAAAAATCGAAATTATTGAAAAAAAAATCCTACGATCAGGCCAGAGTTTATTAAGTATTCTAAAAGCTGTATACATTTCATTAAAACCTACTAAGCGGTTTTCGAGTTACAGTTTTCACCAGTTCAAAAAACATAGTTTTGAGAAAAACGCATTTAAAGTTTCACACTAAAGCTCCCGAGCGCTCTTTGTTATTTGTCGAACAACTCAAAAAGTAATTATCGGATCAACTTGAAATTTTCAGAGAATATTTTCACGATATTACACTTAACGAAAATGCCGACTACTCCTAACCCCTTAAGATATCTCGACACCGTGATGTCAAAAGTTAAAACCTCATTTCCTTAATAAAAATGTGTGTTTAATTGTGCCAATCGATTACTGCAATTATTATATTTTAAACCCTCACACTTTAACATGCTAAAAGGATACTACAAAATATATACATATAGTCAGCAATTTTGCCAATAGAATAACAAAAAAATTGAGGGTCCGAGTCAAAAGTTTCATTTCGATTGTTCCCTAGTACAAAATTTCTTCTATATTTGCCTTCAGCTTGTATATTAAATCACCTCGAAATTATTTACTAAAGAAGTTGTCTTCATTCTCAATTGTCCCGTTGTTGAACCCACGATGGGTGATTAGCCAAAATTGCCTAACATAACCTAGCCTAGTATCCTACTAAATATGTGTCTCTGAATAAGGTAGAAAAACTTTTTTTTTGCGTTTTTGGTTTAAAAGCTCAAAAGCTTTCCAAATCGCGAATTCACAAATGTTATGTCCATCTTAAATTCTATGAAGCTTAGCTATATATTTAACTTAGCTTATTCCTAAATTATTGTTGAAAGATCATTCTATAATTGAAGTTTCTAAGCGAATTTAAATGGATATTTACCTACTAAAAGCATTCCCATGACATAAAATCTCTTAGTTTCCATAATAAAACTTCTCAAGAAAACTATTTCTTTATACTCCATAGAGATCACGATTGGAGGTAAAAAGTATTTTTGAGTATATATCAAATCAAGTTGTAAAACTCGAAAGAGAGAAATGTACTTTTATATTCTCGGGCTGCGAGTTGTAATTAAGGCTATACTTGATTCATTGTAAGGATGTGATGAGAGTTAGGTGCGGCTAGTAGGGAATATCAAGCCAATTAACAAAAAAAGTCGTCGGAAACGACGTCGCATATTTACCGAAACCCTAACAATATCCACTTAGTGATTAAGAATAAAAAGTTGAGGACACCAAATAGTTTTCTAACAGCTTCGGCATGAGATAAAGCAAGAGATTTTGACAAATTGAACACAAAATTTTGAGTGTTATGAAATATGACGTCACGTTAGTAGCATTTCTCTAAGAAATTAAGAAACATGCTATAATGAGAAAGCATTTCAAAATGTGAAGAAGCGAATAGCAGAAGAGCAGCTTATAAAGCTTCTTTATATAATATATTATATATTCATAAGACATATCCATGGCAAATTACAACCGGTATTTTACACTGCTACCCTATGCCAACAGCGCTTAGTGAAGAAGCAAACAAACCATATAAACAATTCGGAAAACAGTCGCGATTCAACATTGTACCGTGTCTCGCGCAGAGCGCGCACCACAGTGAACCAATACGCGCAATAGACGGCCCCAAACTTCGAAAACTAAAAGCTAGAAGGAATTATAAAAAAGTCACCTAGATAAAATATATAATATAAATATAAAGAATTTATAGAAAAAATAATAACAAAAAAAAACTGTGCTACAAACAACAAGAGCAACAGTAAAAGCGGTGTGTCTGCATAGTAAGTGTTTTGTGTGCGCATTGTTAGCAACAAATAAAAATAGAAAAAAACAAAAGACATAAGCTGCGAACGTGAGGCATACCAACGAGTTCGATTTATTGTTTTGGTGCAATGTTATTTGAAATTTGCATAAGAAATACCAAACATTCTACGACAAATTGTGTGTACAACATTCTTGCGTCTCAGCTTACCTGCATACCAGCGCGCTTAAGCGCATATGTATGTGTGTATGAGCTAACATAATTTTCGAATTTTTTGGCAAGCAAATTTTGATATTTCTGCTGTTTGAAAATGTTTGCTAAATTTTCATTTAAACATTTCGTGTTGCGTGAAACTGTCTTGGAGAAATTACAAGCCGCTAGTGTTCTGCGCACTTTCACACATCTGCATGCATACAGACTTCGTGAAAATTGTGACAATCACATCCTAACGCTGAGCGACAGACTACAATCGTCTAATGACTTTCTACTTCCAATGCGCAAGCGCACGTACGCGGTACGCGCTATTCTATAACAAGCTGTTTCTCTGTTTGCTTGCGCTTTTTTACTTTTTTTTTTGAATATCTTTTCCATTTTTTGCATTTTTCTTGCTTGCTTAAATCACGACGCAACGTGCTGCCGCGTCAACCACAACTGCCAGCGGCAAGTGATTACCAAAGCTCTGTCATTCAGTCTGCTGACTGCTTTATTTACCACTTACAGCCCATTCACATTGCAACTGCATCCGCTTGCAACAGTCTCAGCTAAATCGCTAAAACCGTAATTATCTTTAAAGCCACAAATAAACACGCTAAACGCGTCTGTCTCCTATTTCTTTATTGCACATACGCAGCTTGCAGTTACAACTCCTGCATCAACCAGCCACTGCCAACTGTTGTCACATATTTCATTTTGCCTCACCACTCACCGTTATGCCCGCCCCCTTCTCTCAGCGCATTTGGGTTTTCGCAAGCTTCGTGTGCAGCGCGGCAGCGTCTGTCAGTGTCACTGCTGCGTTACTTCGTTGTTACAAACAGTTTTCTTCGCGTAACTGTTGTTGATCTCTGTCGCTTTGTTGTGCTTATCACTTTTATCTTTCTTCTGAACTAATTAGTATGCGCACTCATCACTTGTTTATAACCATTTAGTGAAATATTTCTACGGAGCATCCACTTCTACACTTCTGCCATAATTACCGCTTTTTCTACTATTCTATCCATCTCTCATACATTGTTTGTATTGTATTTTGTTGTTTTACTCAATTTGCGCATAGTTAGGCGTGTTATTGACGCTTCGAAGTACTGAAAATAAGGCGAAGTATGTCATCTGCTTTGCGTTTTTTTTTGTTTTAATTATTGCCTCTAAATTTGAGTGTGTTAATGTCATCTCAACACGAACGGCAAAAAAAAAGGAGCAAACAAATTACTCATCATTATGTTTGTATTATATAAATATATTTATAAATTTGTATGTTAATTAATTTAAGACTAGTTTTTAGTCAGTTAATCGTCGATTAACACGAGTCGATTGCTTTAGAAACTTGTATTTCACTCAAAATTTACCGCGTTGATTCGACAAAATTGATTGAACTGCCTACTTATAAGCGGTGGACCAAAAACTGGGACGAATATATTTATTTTAAATCTCTACTAGATGCTTGACCGAGCTACTGCACGCATAAGTAGTGGGCGCTTGTCAGTTAACCGACAAATAAGGTGGCCTATAAGTTTTTAACCGCTTCGAAACAGCCAATTGTGGTTTTTAAGAGCAACCTTTTCATGACAGATAAATGTACACCACTCGGAGGTTGGCTGTCGCCTGAGGAGTAGCGATCGGTATTGGAAATTTTTCAATATTAGTCAGTCCCGGAATCAAATCTAGGTGTGTTGCGCACCTATAACTGCTTAAAGCTATAAAAATTACACAAGCAACACTCTGAAACTTAGCATATGAATTTTAGGTAGGACATCTCCCTCAATGTCGTCAGTTACTATTTTATCAATATTTTCGACAATTGGCCTTCCATAGCGTGATGGAACTATAATATCAAAATTATCGCAACGGAGTGCTACTAACATTTTCAGCCGCCTGGCTTGTTAACCACCTGCTCTTCCAAGCACACCAAATCTTTGACGCGTGCTCAAACAATAATGGGCCAGGCAATTAAAAAACTGTCTGAGACGCTGTTTTTTTAGTACAAAATCTAACTAACCTAACCTAATAATCCGACCGCACTTATACAACTCGAGATACATCTATATATTTATACCATACTATATAATATAATATATTTAGGTATGCACAAATATGTAAGGTTATAAAATCTCTCGGACCACAGATCGACAAGCCGATGTATCGAGAACTTCTGAAGCTGCTGTTGTCAGGGTCACTCTAATATGAATCTGCATTTCTCGACGCTAGTGAGGGTTACTAGGGGCCAACTATTAAAAATAAATATAATACAAACAATTCTGCATTAGCATTTAGTAGAGAAGTTTGCAGTCGCTGAGCTCCGAGCAATTTGATTGGAGCACAAAATTGGCTGGTTAACGAAAATAGGAACTTTTGCCTTCGTCGGTTCACGTTAACTCAGGAAAATCTTTAACTTTATGGAGCCATTTATAGTTTAAAAACGAATCTTCCAAATATTGCGACGAATTTCTTGAAGTTGGCAACAACCTCATCCACCTTAGTTCTGCAAACCTTCACCAATTTCATACTGTTATAGTGGCCTAAGATATTCAACAAATAATTTTTGGTTCGCTAATATTTTATTGTTCTGGGCCGAGTATATATTTCGAATTCTTCCCTGCCACTCTCAGGGGAAAAACTAATTATTCGATGAATGTATTTGTGATTCAGTTCTCGGCCTAGAAAAGTTAATTTTTTCACGACCATAAACGTTACAAATAAGTTTGTAGCGGTTTAATGATGACATTAAACTTTTCCATTGGCAAAACTCTGAATTTATACACATGTATACCTATTCTCCTAAATTGTCTTTCTATTTTGATAATTTTCATTTGGTTTTACAAAATTAATATTTCAAAAAAATAATTTCTTTTCAAGCCTGCGCTTCAAAATGCCCCAAACCAACTCCCAAAATGCGGCCGACAGCATTGAGCAAAAGCTTCTCGGAATTCTTGCTGCTCAAGATCTGGGCGATATAACGCAGGAGCTGTGCGATTTCTCACTTGAAGAACAAAATGCCACAGCCGAAGCGCAGGGCATACAACCAAGCGCCTCCGCAGATTACATACCTTTGCTAGGCAAATCGGTTACATACATAGTCGCTTGCGTATTGTTTAACGAGAGGGATGAGGTGCTCATGATGCAAGAGGCTAAGCAATCATGTGCCGGTTTGTAATCATTTAATGTATATGAAATTTCAGTGATTATTATTCTTATTCCAGGCAAATGGTATCTCCCAGCTGGGCGCATGGAAAAGGGCGAGACCATATGTGAGGCTGCTGTGCGTGAGGTTTATGAGGAGACCGGTCTAAATGTGGATATCACAACACTTTTAGCCATCGAAGTGGCAGGTGGTTCATGGTTCCGTTTTGTGCTCACGGGTCGCGTCACAGGCGGTCAGTTAAAGACACCCGCTCAGGCGGATAACGAGTCATTGCAGGCGAAATGGATCGCCAAACTCTCCGAATTGCCGCTACGCGCTAATGATATTATAAATCTAATCGACATTGGACGCTCGTATAATGAACGCAACTCGTCACCGCAGGCGCCACCCTATCATCCAGATGTTTTGCCAACAAAGTACTCACATCACAAAAATTATTTGCGTGTCGTCGCGGTGATACGCAAACGTGCCACTAATTCGTTAAATGTACTTGTTAGTGAAAAGAATGTACATCATTTCCCCACGGTCGAGGTGCATCCACAGCGCAGTCTTCATTCGACGCTACGCAAATTTATGATCGAGCTATTCGGCGCCGAATTGCCACAACATCGGCCACACGGCATACTCAGCGTCGAACATTGTCCCTCGCCAATGCCATACACGAGCGATGGTATTTGCCTGAATGTGTTGGTGGTATTTCGACCGCCATTGGAGGAAGTGGCGCTTATTGGCAAATGTACATGGCATGAGTTGAGTCGTCCGCTCGAGGAGAAATTGGGGCGCATACTGTCGAGCAAACATTCCACAATACCGTTGAATGTTATACGATAAACAGATTTGTTTGTGTGTTTGGGGTTGTGTTTGTAGTCTGAATTCGGGAAGTGCAAGTGAACAGGATTCAACAAAGAACAAATTCAATAATTAGGAGTGATCTAATTAAAATGAGATAAATTACAAAATCAAAATGCTTAGTGAAATCTAAAGAGCTACAGTGCTGCGCTACAACTTATACTACTTATTTGCAATAATATTTATTTTTTAAATATTTTGATTTTATATACACCAATCATTGTTTATTAAGTTGCTGTTATACAAATTTTTATGTTATAAATAAAAATTTCATGTTAACTACCTACTCACTTCGCTAACTCAATAAAGGTAAAAAAGGGAGCAACTACAAGGGAATTAATGTATACAGTGTTCGTTGAGTGTAACGAACTTTCACAATAGCAAATTTTTGGTTTAACGAACTATCAGAAATATCTTAATGCTGTTACTGTATTACGAACGAAAAGATTTTTAATTATTCGATATTACGGCTGCTATATTTATACCCTTAACAGATTATATTAAGTTTGCCACAATGTTTGTAACACCCAAAAGCAAGCGTCAGACATCCTATTAAGTATACATTTAAGTGATCAGCGTCTGTCTGTATATACGCGAACTAGTTCTTCAGTTTGTGAGATATCGATATGAAATTGCACACGTTTTTTCTCCAGAAGAAACAGCTCATTTGCCGGAACCGCCGGTTTCGGACAATTATAGCATATAGGAACATACAAACTGAACGATCGGTTTGTATGGAAAACTTTTTCATTTAACGAGATATCTACCAAATTTAGCATGGAACTAACCGATCTAAATCAAGACTTGTAAGCAGTTTTTTAGATTTGTGAAGATTGCAACCGAAGTTAATGTATTTTCTTGCTTTATCTTAAGCCAACGATAGTTTAACTATTTTACAACATTTGCAAAATAAAAATTTTAAGAATCCATTGACTTTGAATTTAACGTAATTTGGTCAGTTTAAAATATCAGTTTCTTGCGGTTGATTCTACTTCATTTTGAACGATTTCGCCAAAGTGTTTTCAATAAAAAGCCATATCCGCGAAATAGGGAGTTCCAAAAAACGCATCACACGAAATCAGTACGTAATTACCTTAAACAAAGTGAATTTCCTAGAATGGAGCAGCCCCTCTACAAATAGTTTACGACTCAACGTCGAAACCATATGTTGTTGTTGTTGTAGCAGCAGAAATAATCCTGAAATAAATTTGAAGAATGCTGCCTAGATGACAGTTTTTGGGCGGATAAAAATCCGGGTCCGTTCCGGTTACATAGACCCGACTGTCTTGGGAACCATAAGCCCATTAGTGGTGCCGTAAGTTCTACAAATTAAATTTTTTAGCCAGCGATAGTTGGTTGACTAAATTCAAAAAATATTCCGAAATACTTTTTCTTAAAGATTGTGGCGCGAAGCTGTCACTTAATGTGGATAGTGTGGATCCAGCTTATACAATAAATAAGCTAAAATTAAAAAAATAACCATTCCCACGAAGCAATTTTCAATGCAGACGAAAGCGGTATTTGTTAGAAATTGCTTATTGAAAAAACAGCAAGAACGTACCTGAAGAAATATCTGCACCAAAAAGGTTAACATTTTTAGCACGTGCAAATGCTTCGGGAAACAAAAAATAAATAAATAGTGTTTTCAAATTTTGTTGTCGGTGGGATAGGAACAGGATTTTTACATGAATTATAGATTGTCAAACCAACAACATTCTACAAATATATTTAAAGAATGGTTTATGTCGCTGCAATAACAATAACAGCATCATCGTGATGAACTTCTACCACACCGAAACTAATCGAGATCGAAATAGAGTTATGCCTATCAAAATAATCAAGATGACGAGACAAATTGATTTTTGGATGTCTAACATATCTATTATACCATTCGTCTGTACAAGCAAGCGATTACATTACTATCAACTAAATTTAATGCATAACATTTTCTTGACATCGTTATATAACAGTTTGACAATGGACGAAATCAAGCTACAACTACGCTTCTTTCATTTTGAATACCATCAGTATTAATAAAGATATCATATTATAACTTAGCACAAATAATGATTTTAAGCTGTAGTAAAAAATAATGAAGTCAGACTATACTCTTTCATGCACCCATATTCCGCTACCAAGCCCATATATGATTTTATATCATATTTCCAAGACATCCTGATGAAATTAAGGTAACAATATGCTCTAGTACTTGAAATGTATAAACTCGGTTCAGCACTTCCCCTAGCTCCCATATACGAGTACCTAACATAATCATTTTCACACTTACGATTAAATTTTAACAAAATCAAGCGTACGTCTTCAACATACTATAGTTTTATACCGAAATTAAGTGAAATCGGTCCTCGAAGCTTCACACTGTAGAAACGGTATCGCATTATGGTAGGGTATTTACGACGAATCCATTACTCTGAATGGAGATGAGGTCGGCGAATAAAGCCATATTTTCATTCAAAAACCTATTCTTACATTATTAGATCAAAGGCTTTTCAAGCCATGTAACATATAATGTTCGTTTGCACCCGAACTTAGTTCTTCATTACATATTTATACAGTTCATATTTTTTAATAAAAACAATTTTAATATCTTTTTTTTTAATTTACAATAAACAGACATTGGTTTGTGTCTTTTGTTTTACAAATGTTTAAGTAAATGCATCATCAAATCAAGTTACACCATATAAATAAATGTAATATACAAATGCATGAGTGTACTACTGCTGTGTACTAATATATATTGTAATATATACACATATAGATTTCTAAAAAATCGCTAGAATGTTTCGAGTAACCAAAGACAAGTTTTGCCATGCTTTTGTTGATAAATATTTACATATTTTAGTATGTTTTATACATGTGGTACATATGTAGACAACAATCAACGGTTAAAGAGGCATAATGACCTAATTAAATGTTTAAGCTACATTAATTACTAGAATGCAACTTCTTAAAGTTGTCCACCGCGATCATTATATATGTTAGTATGTATGTATATATGTATATGTGTGTATATTTGGCCCAAGCTAGTGTTCAGTTCAACTGTCTTGCATGTACATAAATCCGTTGTAAATTCTTCAAATTTGCTTAATGGCGATTATGTATACGTTAATTTACCCATTTAATTTGTTGTACGAGCCCGTTAGTTGGCTAAATTGACTAGGTAGTAATTGCTGTATATTTTTCATTCACATCTGCATATACATATGTAAGTATGCATGTGTTTAACTTCCATTCATTTAATTCTACTCTACATTCTAGCTAATTTACAATTATATCATCATATATTATATGTTTGTATGTTTGTATGTATGTATGTACTTATGTATATGGGAGTACTACAGCACGTGATCGCATATATGGACATGGTCCGATTTTCTAAATTATTTTACAACAACTTTCTGTATATATTTTTATTAAGTCGTTAATGCTGGTGCCATTTTGTTGTCTATTATTTCCAAACCGTGTTGAACAGATCCATAAAGGAATCGTAAATCATAAATGTAATGGCCACATCCAAGCAGACACGACCCAAACGTGGTACTGTGCCCTTGTAGAATGCCGTTACGCCCTCATTGCGCCAAATTTGCAGTGCGCAATCAGCAGTGTTTTTGTACTTAGAAGCTTCTAGACCCTGCATACGTGTCTTCACCACATCGAGTGGTGTATTGCCAAATACCGAGGCAGCACCAGCGATCGCACCAAATGCGCCCACTACCAGTTTGGGCACCGTCTTTTCGTGATCACCGCGCTTATAGAGATCCTTCAATGATTCCATAACGAAGAAACGTATCGCCTGATTCGAGCCCTGTTTAAGTATGGTAGGTGTCAGACCCTTATATACGCCGCCCAGACCTTAAAGGGTAATGAAAAGATGTGAAAATCGCATAAAACATTAAAAAATAATTTTTGGTTCTCACCTTCCTGCTTCACAATTGTGCTGACGCCATGGAAGAAACCGCGGAACTGTGGATTTGCGCTTCGCTGATCATTGATGAATTTCACTTTGACCGTCTCCATGGGTGTGACAGCCAAAATAGCTTCACATACGCCAGCACCAAGACCACATAAAAGTTTGCCGGAATTACTGAGCTGATTATTGGAATCGGCCATGTTGCTGCGCAAGAACTCAAAAGCACCAAAACTGCAATACAAAATACTTTAGTAAAAATTGAAAAGAGAATATACTATAATGTAAACTCACCGCGCGGCAGATTTGGGAATACTGCCATAGATTAGCACACTCAAGCCACGATACAAACCAAAGAAACCATTAGATTTGATAGTCTTCTTGACGCAGTCGGCAATGCCATTGTACTTTTTGTTAGCACCTGTAATCCACAAAAGGAAATATTAAAATTGCATTAACTTTTGTTAGTTTTTAGATGCTACATTGAAGTTGTGTATTATATAATTTATAGAGTAAAATTCGTTTCGATACGAAAGTTAGTACTAATTATATTTTTCAGAAGATCTAGCTTCAAACGTGGGATTTACAGAGGGTATAAAGACAAATTAAGCTGACAACAGGCATCTTAAAAGACCTCATAGTCATATTCTGCATGAAATACTGGAGATAGAAAAGCCGTCGCAATTGTAAGAATACTTCACAGCAGTGTTGAGACCAAGGAATTTCACCGGTGAACCTACACCGAAGAAAATAATTTATTATTACTAACTTAGTTCTCAACGCCCCACTTTAAAGCCGTCGCGTGTTATCAAAATTTAAAAAGCGTTTTGTCTGCGAGAGGCATTATGAGATTCTTCAAACAAACTGTATATATCATAGACACCGAGACATTTAATAGTTCTTTGACGCTTGGCATGCTCCTTTATAGATGCCAATAAACCTCACTTCAGTTTAACTTACCCTTTTCGTCCAACTGCAATTGTGTCTTCACATATTCGGTGGGAAATGTAATACAAATTTCAATACCGCCAGTAATACCGCCCGCCACAATGCCTTTCAAACCTTTGTTACCCGCTGAAGGTGCTGCTGCGCCAGTATTTCTCATCCAGGGGCGCTGTCCGAATGGGTTTACAAAGGCTGTTGTTAATCCTCGGCGGTCCATGATTAATTTGTGGCTGTGCGAGTTTTCGAGTTACAAGAATAAGTGTTTAAGTGAAGGGGTATATGTGGGCTATAAAGAAAAGAAACAAGTAGATTCTTAGTAAAGTGTAGATATGTATATGTATACAAAAAATGAACTCGCTCTTGTTTTATTGACAACGCCGCTGGCTCTCGGCCAAATTTTGACGCCTTACGTTTTCTTTTTTTTATTTATGATTACTTCTTGTTGTTTTCTTATTTCTACAATCTAATAGAAAATAAAGCAAGTTTGAATTCTTTTTATAAATTAAAAAAACACATTATTTTCTAATTTTATCAATAAATATAACCCTAAATACCTAACCGGGAAAGCTAACAATCTGTTGAGCAATATTCGGAATTTAAGAGTTATGCTTCTTTTTTTGTTTGCTGGAAGTATTTTATTTAAGTAATATAATATAATTTGGCATCTGTTTGACCGCATCCCTTTTTCAATTTTTGTTATAATTATCTATTTCGTTGTACAAACACAAAGCCCCACACCCCCAATGTCTTCCTCGAAGAGTATTTTAATTGCAAACACAGTTACCCGGCGAATAGTTTTAAACTAATAAACTACATTACCTTATGTGATAAGCATAATGACATCCGATTATTTACGATTCCTTACCTATATTATTTTCTTACTCACCTAATTACTCTCTATACTAAGACCATATACATATACATACATACAGTTAAAGTCAAGTAGAGTGCCGGAATTATATTGGGTATATGAATTTGAAGAAGATATGGCCAACTATTGTAAAATTAAGTTTTTTGGGTAACTCTTTTGCTGTTTTGTATTGTCTTTTATAGTAGCGTTTTAATATGATATATATAATCCTGGAAATTGTAAATAAAACGAAAAATGTTTAGTCTTCATCAATGTATTTATATAGGTATATATATATATATTGTCGCCTTCAAAATATGCTCCTTCTGAAGCGATACACATATGGTATAATTTCCATTCCATCGAGACATGCCTTGTAGGCGCTGTCCGGGATCGGCTTTAGTTCGCTCTGCGAATTTTCTTTTAAGCTAACTGGAGTTTTGGAGGCAAAAAAAGTCGCTTGGAGCTAAATCCGATGAATACGGTGGTTGCTCGATGGTAATGAACGAGTTCTTGGTAAAATCGTTCATAATACTCTGTGGCAACATTAAGACCAGAAAGTTTTCTGAAATAGTTTTTTTTCGATATTCACGGTTTGGTTTATCATGAATCCGTTTCAACGGGACAGACAATCAATAAAGAGTATTATTTGAACGTTTTGAGACGTTTGCGCGAAAACATCCGTGGTAAACGGCCGGACTTGTAAGCCAACAATTTTTGGAAACTTTCTGGTCCTAAGCTTATGTATATATATCGACTAATTTCACGGGTTAAAGACATACAAACAAGAGATTGGAACTATTTAAATCAAATAATAAATTAAATTCTGATATTTATCAATATAAAATGAAATTTGTGTCGAACAACAAGTCAGAAAATTATTAAACACGCTGTTACTAATCTTATAAAATGCTTTATTTTCAGTTATGACTTAACTAATATAATTTCCAGAAATAATCATATTTTATATGCGACACTTGGTAGAAAAATATCAAATATCAATTCACAAAATCATATCAATTTGTGATAATCTAAGAACCCCTTGTTGATTTCTTTTAATTTTTCTTTAGTATGGCAATAATATATCGCAGTTAATCAAAGCTATTTGCCGGAGTTAAAAAAAGTTTAAGTAGAGTATGTGTTTAAATTTTTCTTGCATTAACATAAAACATCTGCCATATTATGGTACATTATGTATGGTATATTAGAACTATTTTTAAAATGGACAGAGAGGCACTATTTCAATTTTTCTCATCGTAATTTTTCTCCTCTTAATTTTTCATGTATGCATTATTATATTCATAGCGATCATTTCATACTTGTATATACTATGACAATGTACGAGACAATTCCAAATACAACCACGCCCACTTCCCATATAACAATAATTTTCAAAATTACTTAAAGTTTGACAACTTTCCAACAAGCTATGGCACCATAGAAATGACAAATTCCGTGAGAAGAATTCTATTTTCATTTCAATAATTCGTCTGTGATAGCGTCCTCCAAAAGCTTTAGTACTTGTATTAGGGTGTATAAAAGAACTGGATACAAAATGGCGTCTACTGGGCCATCACTCGAAACCATCTTTTTCAAGGGCACCTCTGCGAATGACAGTGATTCTAAGAACTTGTGTTATCTGCAACAAATTAACAACGGGATCTTGATCTACATAAGTTAATGGAGCTTAAATGTGCTTGTCGTGGTTATCAATGTTATTATTTATTTTTATATTTACTAAAATCAATAATACAGTCTTACTTAACCAAAAGAAATACCTATTCAATTTAACAGTTTATACCAAATTGGAAACTAAAAGTAGGTTATCTATAATTTTATATAGACACATAAATACAGGCGTTTGTAAGTAGATGCAAATCAATAAATAAAATATGTATAACAAATTAATACATACATAAATACAACGGTTGTTAACTGAATTCTTTACTGCTTTCTAATCTGTTGGTAAATTTAACCTACGAAGTACAGCAGAAATTTATTTAAAGTTAATATATACAGTTTTGTACATATTAATAGAGAGGCATTGGCAGTCATTTAATTTTGTAAGCAATAGTTTACAATGCCGTATATAAATAGTAAAAAATTACTCATGACTTGATTTGTAATTGAAATCAGAACAACTAAATCATAACGATTACTGAGTTTTTTTTTCGATCAGTGTTCTTAACTTAAAACATTCAAATTTATTTCATGATAGTTTTCTTGAAGGAGCTTCATACTTTTGTGGAAAAGTCATAGATCGACAATAGTATACACACCATATATATTATATATTAGTACTTCTACAAATCTAAGTCTACAAATACATGGAATAAATAATAATTTTCACTAAGCATGGAGAATTGCAGTTTTGTCATCATGTTTTTAACACACGTAGACTTTTATGTTTCTTTTAATTAAACAAACTAAATAGTATAATAACCACCGTCAGTTCTTAGAAAATAATTTAATGGTAGTTCCATAAAGAAATTTGCTTTTTTTAAATAAACACTATAAATAAACCTGGAACCTACTTCTATTTGGAAAATAAATCAAAACAATATTTACCGTCTTAATGATACAAATTAAAAACAATATTTACTTTACTTAGTTGTTTTCAAACCTGACAAAAATAAAATATCTATATAAAACACCTGTTATCGTAATCTTGTACAACACCTGTCTGTAATGGTGAAAAACAACCATATCTATGGATATAGCAGAATAGTGGAGGAATGGATTTTATATTATAAAAAGGAGACTATTTTGTTGACCATATCGGCTAAGAGCCACTCCATTATGATAATTCACAATTGAACGAAGTGATAATTGGCGCTTCACACAGAAACTTAATATTATATGTGTAATTAGTTCACTTGTTAATTGAGTAAATCAAGAACCTGTATGTAAGACTTTGAAAGCATATTTCATAAAATAGAAGCTAAAAATGTAGCACAATTTGTGTGTTACTCAAGCTGTTTTAATTGCACTTTATGTCAGCTCAAGATCTGAATTTTGGTTCGAACAAACTTTACCAAATCAAAAGAATTACGTTATTCTTAGTAAATTTATAACATACGTAAGTAGAAATATGATTTCGAAACTCTTATACCGCGCCATTATTTTTAATGACGTAACGAGATACCATTAACTTGCGGATCAACGTAAGCGAAATGAACCTACATAAACTATTCGTATATTACTAAAACACATTGGAATGCAGAAGAAAATTTTTACTTTTTGTGTTGGGACATTTTCGATGGGATTTAGTCTAACTAATCGCTTAAAACTTATAAATCTACCTACACTTACCAGTCGTAGGAAAATGCTTGGCATAATATTCTTAATAAAAATCCTAAATGGAATAGTTTGCAGTTCTTTTTTCCTGTCTGAAGTTAAATTTAATATCCCAGTTCGCATTTCGAGGCAGTTTAGACCCTTACTGTTAAAGTATTGTAGATCAAGCATTCCGCCGCATGTCATGATTTTAATTCTCATACCGGCACATTTGATTTATTCATTATTCATGATTATCTAAATTCGCTTAGTACTGTTATATTTGTTTTAGTTTTATAGAGAATTATTTACCTGTGACTTTAACTAATATTTGTTTAATTTATGTTAAATTTAAAATAACCGCTTAAGCAAATTCATGGAAATTGATCTGTCTACGAGCATTGACTTTCAGCTTAAGGTATAGAAGTTTAGAATATACAATATTTGTATGAAGGTCGGCAAAAATCCCCTGCTGAACCCTCACCGAGGTTGCCGACTGGTATTAGATACCACAGTTTCACCTCTTGTAGCAGTGAGGTATCTAAGTTCAGACTTTCTGCCTGGGTGTTCGTTGCTTCTCAATAGCATAGCATTCAGATAGGGAGACTTACTATGATTGGGGGTACCTTAAAGATGTGACCCTCGCCGAAGATCAACCTGGTTGGGGGCCCTAAAATAGCCCAATCTCGAACGGAGTTTACTCCAGGAAAGTAGTACCAAATCCTGTAGGCAAAGCTTGGCTGCTAAGCAGGGGGAGGAGGGGTATGCCAAAGGTGCTGCTGCTACTAATGCGTTAGCCAGAGAATAGCCGGCTTTTAGGATCGAAGATCCAGTGAAGGCGAGGTATGGGGAAGCGACGTGTTGCATGCCTGCTGAGAACGGTAGAGCTGCAACCACTAAACAAGGAGGAGCTAACGGAGAAGCTCTTAAAATCTATTGACTGTGCGAGACCAGTTCTACCTAATTTTAAACTGGAACCGCCAGTAGTGACCGCCAAGAGACAAAGGTCAGCTGAAGAGGCTAAGCCGTCGGCTAAGAAACCGAAGGCTAAGGGCGTGGCGCCCACAAAATCATTTTCTGATGCGGCCCAGAACATTGGTGTGCTGAATGAGGAAGATCCCGAAGAAAAATCCCCAGAGCCGAATGGAAATGGGTGCAAGCCTCACTGCCTAATGTGACACTGGAAGTGCTATTGAGCAATCCATGTCCGCCGCCATCATATACGGATGCCGGATAGTACCAGAGCCAAATTAAGCTGATAACTATGGTAGTGGAGGTCTACCCCGGAGCCAGGCTAGTAGCGGTAGACAAGAAGGATATTCCATCCCGACCAAGGGCTAGGGTATGGATCCCGGCTTCAACATCGTAGCCAGACCAGATAATGCAGCTTATCAGAAGGGGCACTGATATTAAAGACAAGGAGTGTGCTCACTTTCAAGAAATATATTTATATACACAGACAGCCAGGCGGCTTTGAGATCACTAAAGTCTCTTAGGATTTCGTCTAAGTTAGTGAAAGAATGAATTGAGCTCTTAGTGGATCTAAACATAGCAGAGTCGCGATGGAATCAATACCCAAACGTGGCTGGATTGGAATACGGGGCGCCCAGGCCGACTATTAAAATTCAAACAAAAACTCTAGTAAGAGTACTAACAGGCCACTGTCTAATAGGCAGACATGCCAGTAGACTAGGAACGCCATATAACGACTATTGTAGAAGCTGTCATGAGGTTAGAGAGGAGGAGAGAAAAAATAAGATACAGGTAAAACTTGCCATACTGATGAACTTCATCAGAAGCACGGGGTGAGCATATGTTCGAAGATTGCTACTAAAATATGCAGAGGAAATTAATGAGAGTATTGATAAACATAACATGAATTGCCAAAATTTAGTTATCACTTGCAAAGACTAGTCAAGGTTATTATATGTGCATATTCTATAAATATCGGACGACAAATTTTCGAAGAGCAATAATTTAAATGGACATTTTTCGACTTTGCCGCAAATTAGCATTAAAAAACAGAAGCAAATAGACTTAACTGATAACGGACACACTAAATGATGTGTCTTTTTCATGTGACATTTATACATACGTACATTCAAACGGAATGTACATGATTGTCCACTTACTATATACTCGTATTTTAAGTACGTGCGTAGGTAACTGAGTAAATAGCTTTAGAGCGGGACTTTAGTATACACCGGTCCAACAACTCAACTCGCGTTTCTGATTTCAGATAAATATTTGTCACCGAACCCTTATTAGAAAAATTGAACTGATGTTTAGTCTTAATTCTGAAATATATTGGTGAAATGGTGTTTGGTAATTAAAGTTTTCTAAGAATTCAACTGCGTTACTATATTATACCCTAAACAGAGAATATTAAGTTTGCCCCCCTGTTTGTATCATCCAGAATGTCGAAAACTCTATAAAATATATGTATATGTTACATACATAAATACCCACCGTGACGAGCTGAGTTGATTTAGCCGTCTCCACCTGTATAATATATATGTGAACTAGTTGCTCAGTTTATGAGATATCAATGTGAAATTTTGCCCACGTCTCTTTCGGGATATCGAACCACTATAGCATATTGCTGCCATACAAACTGAATGACCAAAATTATGTCTTTTGTGTTGTTGTTGTTATTGTTATAGCGGTCGAACTCTGCCGAGTTGACAGTCCTTGGCCGGATAAAAATCCGGGTCCGTTCTAGTTACGTAGACCCGACTGTCGTGAGAACGGCTTATATTATTGCCTAAAGCAAGGGTATAATCTCCGAAGAAATTGTTCAGATTCAGTGCATACAGCTGTCATACAAACTGATCAATCAAGTTCTTGTATGGAATCCTTTGTATTTATGAAGGGTATTTTAGCTTCGATGCAACCAAATATAACGTTTTTGTTGGAGTATCTTCAGAAATTAGAATGAGTCAGTGGTTGAATTAACTAATACAGCTTCTGATAAAAAGATATAACATCGAACTTGTCGTAAAATAAATAAATAAATATGTTTTAAAGCGCCTTTGGAACCCAGTAGGTTTCTAAAAACCAGAGTATAGCCTTATCCACTGACTTTTACGCCTTCTCTAGCTCTTCCTCTCTCTTTCGCTATTTATTCATTCATCTATCTTAAAATTGGCGTTAAAAAGTATCTAATATCGAACTTAGTACAAACGAGGTTGGGAATTATAAATAAATTTGATTTTTATTTCCAATCAGAACCAAAATTTATGTGTGAATTGGCCGACTACGCTTGTATCGATCTGCTTTAAAAATACTTCTTCCCGCATTTAGGCACCACCCTAATACTTTTATATGCATGTGTACATATATACATACTTGTATATGTTTATAAGCACGCTTACACCATACAAAAATCGTATGACTAGTTGGTATATTTATTTTTCATTGCTTAGCTGTTTGCTTCACAGTTTTGTTTTTATTCAGTTTTTGTTGGTAAAATGCTGGCTGACTGTTTGAACGAACCGCCAAAAGACGGCTGCCAAGATAAGCTTAGTGTAAGGAGCTATTTTATGCCATACGAAATACTAAATATAATATAATATATATTGTACAATAAACCTCATTTACATACATACATATGTTAGCGCTTATGCTAAAAAAAAGGCTACAAAGTACTGTGGTCATGTAAATTAAGTTAAAATTTTGTATTGATTTCTCTTTCATAATTTTTCCATTTTTATTATTTTTCATTTACCATTCCATCTTTTTACTCGCTTTTACATTTTGCTTCGTTAATGAAATGGCGAGGTAATTTCAATTATGTTATCTGCGGGCAAAATAAAACAAATTCAAAATGAATTCAGTCTTTGTTTTATAAGTACAAATATTATTTTAGAGATGACAGTGTGCAAATAACTAGCTTTATGAAACTTTGCAAAGCATCTCTATGTCTATTAATGGATATACGAGTACATACTTTGTCTGTGCAGGCTCGTGCAGTCGTAATGGATATTTTGACTTAAATCTCTTTCTTGACAAGCGTACTTCAGATTAAGAAAATGTTTAATACATTTTATCTTGTTATTGCGGAAAAGTTATAATTTTGTTTCAGCAAAATAGACTAAATCGGATTTAAGTATAGTGAATCGAACACATATATGGTAAAAATCCGATAAATTGGTATAATAAATAAGAGATCAAATATAGCCATATTAAAATAGTTTAATAAAGTATGCACATTCTCTTATGTATTGTATTCAATAGATATAGTATTTTGGTTTCAATACATACCGATATTGGATTAATATATGTATGTATAACCACAAGTATAGTTACATAAAATAGTGATTACGAAAAACAACTCCAAAAGAACACGACTTAATTCAAAGTTGATGTTCAGTTTTTGCACATAAATGCAATGCTTCCAGCATAAAAATTTCGAAATTTTCAAACAGTGATATTTAGTCGCTCGCGTCGAGGCATACCTTATTATTTATGTATTTAAACATTAATTAATAACGATATTTATTCTTCCAACGTATTTGATATTCAACATAATTGAGTAATTTTCTCGCCTGTGGCTTGTTATTCTCATAGAGTTAGAATCGCCTTCTTTAAATCGATTTTAAGCTTTCGAATATATACAAATAATTTTGAATTAAAAATATCCCATTTCAAGAGCTTAAAGTAACATATGTATATTTCATACAAGAATTATACTATATTTTGGAGTAATGGTCATTTTCAGGTTAAAAGCGTGCTTAAAATGGAATTGATAATTAATGTTACGTTCATAAAAACAAAAAAAACGTTAACTTCAGCTGCACCGAAGCTATATATAATACCCCTCATAGTTGCAATTCTTAAAGCAAGAAATTCTTAAGGCAAGGCGGAACCAGAATTTTTTCTGGGAGGTTCTACTGAAAAAAGTTTTCTTCTACCATATTTTTAATATTATTGTTACTTCGTTTGTTTGAGTTTGACCCCCCAAAACCCTGCCGTGGATCCGCCACTGACATGTACCTATAACTAAACCTAACCTAACCTATTTTGTTAGCTCTTTCTAACCACGTTGTTTAATTATAAACAACCTTCAAGTATAATTAAGGTAACATAATAGAGAAAACACATCTTTTATGAAGAATTTTAGTTTGATTGGTCAATTTGCATGGTGGTGTGATATTGGCGATTCCGACAGTTGAGCTTCTTGAGGAGAAAAAGCGGTGTACAAAATTTCAGATCAATATCTGCATCTGCTCAAGCCGATTTATGCAACTCTTTAATATTTTATATACAAATAAAGGATATACAAAAATATGAGTGATTCGAATACATAAGTGGTGTAGTCTCACTCAGCTAAACATTTACAATACATAGTCATAAGGCCGCTACAGTCACGACAGCATTACTGGTGAGTGAAAATTGTTCACGATTTTAAGTGAATTTTCTAAATTAATTTTTTTTTAAATATTCTATACTCAATTGGCAATGACTTATGGCTATATAACCATATATTCCTGTTATTTCTTGTTATTTGTTGTTTTCTTGGTTAAAATATGCAAGTTTTTCGCGAACGTTTTAAAAATTTATAGAACACTTTGAATAATACGAATTTAATTCAAGTATACGATCGTAAATAAAAAATTGTCATAAATGACACTATTTCAAATATATTTCGCAAACGCGGCGCTTTGTACCAGCGTATATTGCGAATATTCCGGTTTTGTTATCACTCTCTTGTACATAACTAAGCATGTAAGTATACTATGTATATACATTTATGTGCATATGTATGTATGCCTTTAAGTAGAAGTCTATTATTTTACACCTTTGGAAGCTCTACTTGTATATTGCTTTTCACTCAAAACGGTTGTCAAAAACAAAAAAACAAATATTTTTTGTTAATTTGTTTGTTAAAGAAGTAAAAGATAAAAATAAGAATACTTTTCACACACCTTCCTTCAGTCTGATTACGAAAATCGATTTAAAATCCGTTCGAACAAACTGCGCGCGCTTGAGTAACCAAATAATTAGCACACGCACCGCTAGTGTTGGCGATCGTACGATACACTGTAATTGTATGAAAGCGACTGTTGCTGCTAAGGTCCCCACACCGCTTTCAAATTGAAAATATTCATACGGAACTCTCCATAAAAATATATGTATGAGTGCTTGTACATACATATGCCTATGTATATGTATATGTATTTTGTAGGTTTGTAGGTATTGGCCAGCTCTTTCCAATTCCAAATCGAAATTTACCTACTAGGACACATACATATTTACACTCACGCACTCACACATATATAACTTTATATTTGTTTGTATGCACACTCTACTCTTGCTGAATTCAAAGCAAATGTGTGACCACAAAGGCAAAGTGGCGACCACTTCATACACAAGTGTATGCTCATGGAAAGGGGAAAACAAAAATGTCAACAAAAGTCCAAGTTGCTCTCAATTCGATAGCCATATGCGCCCCAATTTACCACAAGCAAACATACATATGTAACGACATACAAGTACAATACATACATACACATGAGTACGTATGTGTGTGGTATATACTCAGCCAAAGCTACTACAACAAAAGGTGTGTCGGTACGAAGCGACTTGCTTGTTGACTCGCCGGTTCAAGTTCAAAAATTCAATGAGCATCATGTCAATGAGCGCATCGTTCCTATGAGAGAGTTACACAAATTGATTGGCAAAAGCTACCTACTTGTTAGCAATCGCCATTAGCATTAATGCAGTCGACAGCACGTTTGAGAGTTGGTCCGATAAGCTTACGAGTATACGTAAGCAACCCAAGCCGCTGGAAAGTGCATGGTGAGGTTCGGTATAGTTCAGCTGCTCAACCAAAACTTTGTTTTTGTAATTCCATAAAAAGTCTTTACTCAGTCGTTGCGTTTGCATTTAAATATGCATTCAAGTTTGTCTGGGTTTATGGAGAAAACAGCGCATGTTTTTTGTGTTTAAATATGAAAGCTTTTTGCTTGATTGCACAGTGGCACTTTTTATAGAAAAATTTAATAATTTTGTGTTTTTCTCTGTAAAATTTAAATTTTCATGATTAATTTTCAAAAAATATAATTTTATTTTCTTCAATATGTGTTAACAGCATATGAATAATCAAATCGACGAAAATAACGCCTAAAATTTAGTTAATATAAGTTAGTATTGAAGACAACACATCTCGGAATATGCTGAATACAGGCGTGGAAAAGAGTTTCCATTCCCAACTGTGACGAAGATTAAAGAATTATCAAGGAACTGGTGGACTACGAACTGAATTAAATGCATGCAAAAGCTGCTTTAAAAAATATGAGGAAGCAAGTCATTATTGCTGATTGAAAATAAAGAAAGCATTCCGGGCAACAAGGGCAAATATAAGACACTTGACAGCAGTGTTTGATGTTGTTTAAAATTAATATGATAGAGTTTCTGCATCGTTTAGTGACCGTTGACGAAATATGGATTTACCGACCAAAGGGCAGCAAAATGTAGAAAGAGGGGATTTCACCCAGTAACCCTGCTCCGAAAACGTAGAATATCCTATCGGCCGAAAAGACATTGGTCACCCTTTTTTGGATTCACAATAAGCAATCGTACATCGACTGCTGGGAAAAGGGCCGATTCGACGCTAAATTTCAGAAAAACACCATCTTACATGACCCCGACTAGCTTTTTGCTCATTGTCAGCAAGGTCGTGGCCAGTGTTGCTGCTCTATTATCAGAAAGTAAGCACACCTCTCTGACGGATGCTGCACTTTGGATTAGCACATTTATTGCTACCTTGTTGGGAAGCCTTCAAAGACACTGCAGAGATCTGATATACCTATGATCAACGAAATACTTACTTCCTGCCCGCAGTCACAAAAATGAGACAGTTTATTCTGTTACATATAAATAGATGATTTCTACATCCCTAACACTTACGCCTAAGCTTTCCCGGAGCGTGTGCTTTGAGTTCGCGTCCGAGTCAGTAATGACGTTGGCTCTCCTTTGCTTGGTCTTCGGTCGAGTCCGCTTTAGTAAAAGTTGAAGGATGCTTCACCTCGATGGGAAGCAGCAAGTAGATACAGACCAGCTGACATCATCCTGTATCCTAATAGTTAAGACATTCTCGCTGCTAAAATCATCAAAAACGTTTAGTTCATTTTTAACCAGAAAACAAACTCTATTTCTACCTGTACTGTTGGCATTCAACAGCTTATATTTTTTCGTTCTTAACCCAGGATGCAGGTAAAGCTTAGCCTTGACTCATGGATTAGGCGTCGGTTTTGTCTCTTTCATACAGAGCAGGGTTTTAGCGGAGGCCGCCTTTTCTTAGTCGATAAAAATAAGAATATTCATCTTCTAGAATATTTTCCAGAAATGCGAGGAGTATCAGCACTTGTCAATATGATTACTGAGTTCTATCTAGACTGATGACCCTCCAGTCATAAATGAGGAGAGAGGGAATGCAGTATCGCAAGATCGGTTTCGGCTGGGAGCCAAACACAAGAGTGAATTGGAAGATCCACTTTGACGACTGCTTCGAGTTTTGCTCCCATCCAAACTTCATTCAACTACTTATATATGGATGCCGGCCGTTCGTTTTATGGATTATGTGGTGCCAACAGCACTCTCACATTCAGGAGGCGGTTCAGAGTTATCCTTGACTCCCTTCTCAAATAACCGCGGATATACTCAAAGCAACCCATTCCATTCCATTATTCGTGAAAGATGGCTCAACTTTTCTTACTGTGATCACAAACACCTGGTTCTATACAGCTTTCAAGTTTGGCGATTTCGCGAAAAGTTGATGCCACCACCAAACTTGGGTTCTTACCGAGGGATGATGCGATCTCTTTCGCTTTACTGAAGATTGAGTCTTGTCTAAACCTGCAATTTTGCCATTCCTTCTGTCGCTCAACACTTTCAATGTGTTGCCATGCCGTTCAGATTCCTGCTCAATCTGCTTACTACCATTGCGTTCTAAAATCTTAGTTACCATGCGATGAGCCCTTAACATATTCTGTGGTCGCCGAACACCTTATAATAATGGCAGAGGCTCCTCTGTTGATGTTAGATATTCCACCTCGCACTATTACCCTACCTACGTTTCTTGTTAGCAGACACTTGCCGACTCCCATCGACTTGCCTCCCCTTACAAGCGATAGCCGCGCTTCTATAGGGGAATATATCCTACGTTCCACGTGGGAAAATTCATCACCCCAGGTAATGACCCACCCGATACACTACCCGGTCGTCGTACGCTCTCATGAGGCACCAGCGTAACCCACAATTACGACACCAACTTAATGATGACGGCAGAGGAAGGCCTGCATAGCATCAACGGGACGGAGGCAGTCTTGCCAGCCATTTCTGCTACGTGTCACCACAGCACACTCAAGTGATGAAATACCTCGACCACCAGCCCAGCGTTCAACCAAATCCAATACTTAAATCCTATACAAAGTCTGTGTCGTTCAGTGGTCAATGGTCTGTAAGAAGTCTTCCGCGCCGAGGCAGCCTGCCCTACATCGCAAAGTACGGTCAGAAGTAATATCATATATAGAATATCAATATAGAAAGTTTTCCTTAATATTATATATTTATATCTAATGAGGATACAATAAAAGTCACACTAAAGTCAAAATGTATTTAAGACTAAAAATATGTACAGAACAAATTTGAACTTCCTGCAATTTTGAAACTACTAGCTATGTTTCTGTTCTCCCGCACAAAAGTGAGGTTATCCAGATTTTCCTTCTTACCATCTAAGGCCAAAATAGTTCTTCTTTAGAAATAGCCTCATAAAATGATACACAATGCAGTACATTCCAGCTATACTTAAAATGTAATAACGTATACATTTTTTATAATATTTTATAAACGAGATTTTTAGGAGCATATTACAACACTGAAAAACTAATTAACTTAACTTCTTCTCACTGCCTACACAATTTACGAGCAACATGTTAACTGTCAATTACCCTCTTGAATTTTGCAACAATGCAACTAAAGTATAAAAGGCTTACAAAGTAATTCTGCACAAGTGGAAAATAATCAACCGGCACTAAATTTACAGGCAATGCAATCCAGAAGAACGAGACAATAAACCAGTCAAGCATTCAAAAATCACTTGGGAAAAATTAGCCAGGCATAATTACACATTTAACACATACACATTTTTATATGTGCTTATGATTAATAGTCGCGTAATTAAAAAAATTTGAGTAAATATGTACATATGTCGGTAGTCTGATCGACTTCAATGCCAATGCCACGTTACGTATACGCCATGACAAACTTTTGCGAATGTGAAACTTTAACATTACACAATTGAATTGCACTAATCAACATTTTTAGAAACTTACTTCAGTTATATTTTCACCCGAAAAATTATGAAAAAATGTACAACCGCTACGTAAACCCAACCGGCAGATTGATACTAACGCCTACAAGCAATGTTTATAGGTCGCCAGAGGTAAGTTGTGCATGTACGTATGTAATGAATTAACTCAGCGATTCTCAAACTGTAGCAAAACGCGGGCAACGGGAACTCCGATCATAATAGAGAGTATTAATGTTAATAAATATTTTGAACCCCTGGAAAAGCTAATGACAGTCAAGCCACATACACTTTTAACTCCTACAATATATAAATGTATATAAATGAATTTGAAGACTAAACGGCGCATGCGTTAAAATGAGGCATACAGCTGATTACTGTACGGACCCATTGGCAGCAGGATGAGTATCAAGTCGCAAAAATATTCTTAGATGAAACGCATATGAGCTAATCGACGTGGCATTGCATATTATTATCAAAAATTTGTAAATCACAGCGATTTCAAAACAACCGAAGTCGATAATTTTCGCACACATGCGATTGAAGACAAGCTCTCAATACATTAAAAATATAACTTTTTGCGATTAAAAAAATTGTATTTAACATTAGTTACACCAATTTTTCACCACAATAAAAACTGTGATGGTATTTTTGAAGCTAACATTTAATTGTGGAACTTGGGTACTTGGGTAATATTTTTCTTAAATACTACTGCAGCGATCGTTTTGACTTTTTTAACACTATTTCTATACATACCATAATTTACGAGGTAACGAGGTATATGGTAATATTTGTCATTTTACAACAACAAATTAATTAATTTCTTGGCAAAAAAAAGGGTTTATTTTTCTTTAAAGTGTTCCCTAAACGAGAAACATTTAAATTTCGGATACTGAATTGCGGTCTCTGAGCTAACAACAATCTATTTATACTAATCTTATGTATATTCCTCATTTCGATTCTTTGATGCTTACGCAAACGATTATCGGTGCCTTACTCTGAATAATCTGCGCCTTCTATACACTCTGTTCGTGGTCACAAGATAAATCCAGCTCCAATTTTTAAGATTTTAAGCTTGGTTCTAGTTACCTAAGATTTTTTCCTCCTTTGCTGTTGTTATTGTGGCCAAAAATAATTCCCATGCAGTAAACAACATTTGTGTAAATATCATCATTATAAATTTAATATTTATTTAACTAATTGTATAGTCATTGTACTAGTAGGATTTAAAAAAATTTAATGATTTAATTTTTATATGAATTTTTTATCACCAAATGAATTCAGCAAACCATTGTTTGGGTATTTAAAAAATATAATCTCATAATATTCTAACTATTTAGCTACACAAACATATTACCCAACCAAATCAACTTTTTCCTGTGTTTCCTTTTAGCATTTCTTCCAATGCATCAAATGCTTCCATATATACATCATAAAGTGTAAAAATTACACTAGCTTGTAGAGATAAACGCATGAATCGTGGCAACAAACCTTTGTAGAGCGCTAATACTCCCTCGTTACGAGATATTTTCAAGATGCAATCGAACATGTTTTTATATTTAGACGCATCTAAGCCCTGCATGCGTGTTTTTAATGTATCAACTGGAGTATTGGCCAGCACTGCGGTACCGCCGGCCATAAATCCCACCATAGCTATCATCCATTTTGGAGGCTTCCGAGTTGGGTCATCACCTTTATAGAAATTTTTAAATGTTTCCATTATAGGGAATCGTATTGCATGATTTGAACACTGTCGGAGCAACGTCGGCGTAAGACCCATGTAAATGCCACGAAAACCTATATGAGAATAAAAATATTAAGAAGAAAATATCAAATCTACATATAATGTACAATGAATATAATGTGATACAAAGGATAAAAACACAAAGGGCAAAATCGTAAAGGTTTATTGATACCTTTTGATTGATTGCCTAAAATCCTTCTTAACTCAAAACGAAGCTGTTTATTATGCGCTGAACAGTGTATTAAGTTAGCCACGAAGTAAACGTCGGAGACCCTACAAAACATATAGGTATACATGATAAGCATGACGAGCAGAGTCGATATAGCCATGTTCATCTGTCTGTATATACGTGAACTAGTCCCTTAGTTTTTAAGAAATTGATTTAAATTGCTGCACACGTCGCTTCCTTACCAAAAAGCTGCTAAACAAACTGAACAATCAAAATTATGTCTTTGTATGGAGAACATTTTTGTTTGACGAGATATCTTAAAGAAATTTGGCACGGATTATTGTCCAAAGCAACGGAATAATATCCGAAAAAATTTATCCGGACTGATAAAGCATATAGCTGTTATACAAACTTACCGATCAAATCAAATCCTTATATTGGAAGGAAATTATAGCTTCAGTTCAACCGAAGTTAACGTTTTTTCTTGTTTTACACAATAACATAAAATGACAATATAAATAAAGGGTGATATAGTTGCACATACCTTCTGTTTTTATTATGAGATGAGCCGCATGAAATATCCCCCGAAACTTTGGCTTCTCACTACGTCTGTCATTTATAAGTTTGACTTTCAAAGTTTCCATTGGTGTTGTCACAAGCATAGATTCCACTATTCCCGAGCCCAAACCACATAAGAAGCTATTAAATGTTGACAGTGACTTCCTTTCGTCAACAAGATATGACTTGAAAAACTCAAAAGATCCAAAGCTACAAGAAAGACAAAAATTGTTTTTATATACAGATACATATCTCGCATGAGATTTACCTACTGTTTGCTTACCATACAGCAGTTTTTGGTATACTTCCAAAAAGCAATATACTCATTCCACGGTACAGCCCAAAAATACCATATTGTTTTGTGGTTTTCCTAAAGCAATCAATCACCCCACTATATTTCTTTTTGTCACCTGTTTATTAACATATTTAAATTCCGTGAATTCCTTGATGAAATTTGTATACCTTTCTCATCTAATTGCAGTTGTGTTTTTATGTATTCCGTAGGAAATGTGATCAGTACGTCTGTACCACCAGCCATGCCACCGCATAAAACACTTTTCCATCCTTTATCACCCATTGTAATTTAAAATAAAATAATTTATTTTTGAAGTTGTCGGAATATTTTATGCCAATACTTCATTTCAAAATTTTGTTATATAATTTTAGGAGTGTAATAGTGGTAACCCATTGCAGTGTTTATAAAATCACATTTGCTTTGTTATCACAGCGGCGTTGTTATATTATCTAATATTAAAAAAAACTAAGTTTTTAGACAAGGTAAAGAAACCCAGCTGATTTAGTTTTGTTAGTGATGGTAGCTAACCAAAAATAGCAATTTACAGCCATGAACAAAAGTATTGCATAACTCTAACTAACTATATGAATTTACATATATATATTTTTCAAAAGTCTAGATAGCAGGAGAGACTGATGACTTGCTGAAAACATTTATTTACGTATATTGTTAATTAGATTAGAAGACTTGACAATTACGAAAGAAAAACGGAATTTCCTTCCTAAATTAAAATCTATCTGGCTCCCACGACTGCTGTTAGAATCGATAGAAATTGGTTAAGAAAATCGATTTAGCAACATCAACCGTAAATTCTTCAAGATTATTGCTGAAGACGTAGTCGTTACAGTAACGGTAAGTTAACGAATAACATATTAACTATCATTGTTAATAATTTAATATTTTTAATTATGATTGTTAGTAACTAAAAAAAAGATAAAAAATAAAAAGCTCAAACAATGTAGAGCAGAGAAAGACAAAAATATAAAATCCGGCCCTTATGTTTTTTGTGAAAATGACAGAATTAAAATAAAAAAAAAACAAGCGATCAGTTTGTATGACAGCTATATGCTCCATTATCGGCAAATGAGCAGCTTCAAAAATTCACATCGCGTGCAAAATTACAGATCGATATCTCAAAAACTGGGGCACTAGTTCGTGTATATATGGAAACAGACGAACATGGCTAAATTGGCTCAGCTTATCCTACCGTTCATTTATGCATTTATATATTTTATAGGATTTCCTATGTTTTGTTATGGATGTCACAAATTTTATATACCCTGGGTATATCAGGGTATAATTATTGGAATGTTTGAAAACGTTTTACCTATTCACGAATAACATGAATTCTAAAATGCACAAGCTTTTTCCCATTACCATTTGGTTTTTTTTTATTTTCATTAAGATAAACATTTTTTGTTTTAAAAAAATTTATTTTAATGCAAAAATTTACTCACGTTTTACTATCATAAGTTATGTGCTTAAATGCTTAGCAATAATACAATTTTTGAATTCAAATATAAATACATTAAAATGTATTAGAAAAAAATAGTTAACATTCTTTAAATGCTTAACGGTACAATAATTGGTAATTATTATTCAATAACAAACTCATAGTTTAGTTACAGTTAATGCATAAACAAAATTAAAAACTTTCAGTCAAAAAAAATTGGAATACACAAAAACCAAAAATATATCTTGATGTATGCATATGTTGTCATACAAAGTGCAAAATATTACGCATGATATATAGTATTTCAATTATTAATTATCGCAAGATGTGGCATTATTAATTTAACTATTTGTTGTTATGGTCTTCGAACAGCGGATTTATACAGCCTTGTACAATCTGACGGATTTCACGCCATTAATGGTGAGGGTCTGTGGTAAGAAGATTTTATTAGTGAAAATTATATTTATTAAAGCTTTAGCAAACTTACAGTCACCAGTTCGGAGTCGGTGAATTCACGAACAATGGTTGAAGGTTTGTCACCCTTCTGTTCCTGCACCAGTTTGTTGCCCTCCAAAGTAATGACACTCTTCACTTTACGACCATCCAGTGTCTCTTCATCAAATTCCTTGCCTAGCTTAAAGTTGATCGACGATGTCTTGAAGGTTGAGGTAGTGGTGAAAGTGTAGGTCTCACCATCCTTTTTCAACTCAACGGTGGGACTGACGCTATTGCCCATTTTACGCATCACCATACCGACACCTGTAATATTCAATGAAAGGTAACATTAATTCACCGCGATATTTATGTAAATATTTGATTTGTATTGATTTCAATTCAAGGTGAAGGTGTTGGAATATTAAAATAGTGCATTGTGGTTGCGGCAAAATTTATGTAGATCAATTTCACAACTTTACATTGTATGTACATACATATGTATGTATGTGCATTCAAAGAAATTTGATAGTAGTGCTAACGCATTAAAAAAAAAATTAATAAATGTAGCTTATTCTTAAATTGTAAGCGGTATTCTGTCTTCAAGAACTTTGTTCACATATCATTCAACAAACTATACATACCTACATATAAGTTTGTAAATACATACATTCAGTACATATGAATGTTGCCTACATATTGTTATACAATAATAAAATTAACCCAAAATTGGCTCCGTTAAAGTTCAAAGCGATCAAATCAAATTCAATTATACGTAATCAGCACGACCAAACGCATGAAACTACAAAAACCACTTTGGAAAAGGGCGAGTGTCAAGCGCATACGTACATTTTTAGCATATGTATATGCGCCATGTATGCAGATATGCATATGTTTGTATGTATGTATATGCACATTGTCCCACAGTATCACGAAGTACGTACATACATGCATATGTGCACTTGTTGCATTAAACGAGAAATAATTGAGTGAAAATGGCGCGGAATTTCGATTTCAATTGAAAAATACATTCGCATGTATGTATGTACATATGTATGTGATTAAATATGTTTGTAGACATCTTAAAATAATGATATTGGACAAATTTTTTACCATTTGATAATACGCACGTATGTAAATATTTATAGATATGGGTTACCCCGTTTTTATACCTTGAATAGGGTACGAGACTTAGTACGTAAAACTTTTTTATTTGAAGATATATATTGATGAAATTTGGCATAAAATATTGCCCAAGGCAACGCTACAATCTACGAATAAATTTTTCAGAACCGACCACTATAGCATATAGTAGTTGCGATATGAACTGATCAAAATTAATTCTTGTATGGAAACTTTTTTTATTTGTGAAGGGTATTCTAGCTTCGGTGCAACTGAAGTTAACATTTTTTCTTGTTCACTAAATTGTTGGTCGAACTAAATTATATTTTATTATTTTATTTATATTTTTATTTTTATTAAAATAATTTAAAATTTTAATTTCCAAAGAAGCCTCGGACTTCTGTGAAGGGCACGTCACGAAATACAGTCACTCCAGTACAGCAGTGGCAGTAGGTTGCAAAGTTTTAAAGTAACATTTAGAGGTTATGGTTGAAATATTCAAATAAAATGTGCATATTAGCAGATTTAATTTAATCTTACCAGTGGTATTAACATTTACCGTTTTTCTTAAGCAAACGCATTAATAAGTTGAATGGGATATTAGATTATCAATATAAACTAACAGGTAAAGTAAAAAAACAGACATAATAGGAACTCTTAATTTAATTGTACTACATGATCCCGTAACTTAAAACGGCAATTTATTGTCAATGCACACAAACTTAAGAAATGCATACAGTTCTACGTATATGCATACATACAGCAGGCAGATAATTCATAAAATATGTAAATTAAATTGAACTCGCTTGACATAAGATACTGCAACACCATACGCCACCACATTGAACGAACATTTCGTTACGCCAACTAGTAAACACATACATACATACATACATACATATTTGGAATGTATATGACAATGTATGCATATTTACAAGTGCTTAACTGGGGGCTTGGCACGCACTTGACGAAATATTTATCCGATTTATTGTAGATATTTAAGAATATTTAATATTTAAGAAATTTAAAAAAGTGGCAAATTCAAAAACATTTGTTTGTATTTTTACAGTAAAGCTCATCTCGTGAAAAGTGAAACTGATTTGACTTTATGTCTAGTAAAAAATGCAATTCTCAATAGGTAGTAGTAAAAAATTAGAAGTTTAATTAAATCTTGTACTTTACCCAAGTTGGTACAAGATATTTTGACGTGTGATAAATGTTGGGCGGGGCTAATTTTAAAACCATATACATACATACATAAATACAATATCATAGTGTAGATCAAAGTCGAAAAGTAAATTGAATGCAGCTGATAAGAGTATAGAACTATATAGTTTTAAATCAAGATTATGCATTAGACTAGCAATACACTTATATTTATATGTATATTTAAGTACATAAATTAACGCAAATTTATGTATACTACAGTGGGAATATCTGAACGTTGCTCGGCCGGCTGTTTCATTATATTATTTATATATTAAGACTCTCGCTTTCGCACTATAAAAAAACAATAAAAAAAAATACAAATATGTATTCTATATTCATTGCAAATATTGCAAATACACACTTTGCCCAAAATAAATAGAAATATATTTAATAATAGACAGCGTTGAAAAAATATGCATACATTGTTAATACCAAACAATTTGTTGACTTTGGTGGTCATATTATTACTAATAATAGCAAAAACGTTTGTTTACAATTTCAGGAACTACCATATTTAAATAGCGTAAGCACAAAACAATGTATACACTATATACTCATACATATAAGAAATTTGTTTATAAATATATACATATGTACTCTTATAGCCAGGAAACACTTCAAATTCATTAAATATATTTAAATACACGTCATACAAAATGACATACAAATTGCAAAAGTAATTAAACAAATCAGTTTTTTTTTATTTGTTTTATACATGCACTGAGTAACGCTTAGATGCTTAGTAGCTTCCATATATGCCTCTTATATTATATATCCACATATTTTCATAATTTCATTGATCACACAATACAAATACCTACAGGGCGAGTTTATGACTTTAGATTAATGTTTTAAAAAATATTTATTGTTTTTTTTTTATATTATTGTTTAACATTAAAAATACATTTCTGAATAAAAATAAATTAAATTCTGACTGTGTATGTGTACGGGGTGGCCATTGTATGATCATAAGATCTTGTAAACCGATACCGCACGCATGTAGAGATGTATGAATGTAAGTATATATATATGTAATAATTAATAATTCATTTACAATTAGTTCTTAAGCACTTGAGTTTGAGTAATGGTATAAGTGTGGCGCATTCACTTTGATAAATGTAGTTTACTTACAAGAGTCTATACATACATTTAAAACAAATAATTTCTTTCAAAATACTAACTATTTTTTAAATTATTAATCTTCAGCTCCAAATTTATTGTATATAATAAAATATAACTCCATTGTTATATTTACTATATATATTATTTATACTAAAAAAAACCAGTTATAGTTATAGTTAAGCTGCTTGGTAATTAAGGAAATATAAAAAGTGATAATTATTATTATCTTCATAAGTGTACATATGTACCATATATTTATGGTTGTATGTAAATGCCTATCTATTTCATTTTATTTGTAGCTAAAAGATGTGTATTTTTATCTGCCATTCATATAACTTTCAGTTCGAAGTTCAATTTTTCTTAGACTATATGTATGTACATTTGTACTTTGAACCTATGCCGCCGGTGCCAACAAATAAATGCAGAAAACAACACTTATCAATTGTATACTTTTTTTCACTTAAAGAAAGGTGGATCGTAATCTTCTTTCGAATTTATTATTTTTCTTTACTATCGGCATTTTTTTTTTGCAGTATTTAGCAAGAACATAAAAACCGGTTTAGTTATGCGCGAAATAGGAGCTGTCTTTTGGCTGTACCAATAGAGCTTAAGAAAATTAAATGCCTAACTGATGCTGAGTTTTAGCAGATCAAAAGAAGCGATTTTCAAAATAAAAAAAGAAAAATCGATTTTCTTTTTACAGCAATACGTTAAATTTTATTACAGGCCACATGTGTTTATATGTGTATGTGCAGAGAATCACGCCACCAGGACCATATTAACCACCATGGCAGGCATGCCCACATGTGCATTCTATACCTTACTTTTGCAGAGATATGTATGTATGCATGTACATATGAATCATTTTAAAACATTGAGTTTTATCATACATATGTACATATACATACATACATATATACATTTCAGCGAGGAATTCTAAACGGACATTGCTCCGATTTGAACTGTAAAAACAACACCACTAATATATAAAACTCACCCAACTCTTTCATGTACTCATCAAAGTTTTCACTTTTTTCCAATTTGTATTTCTTTCCTTCCCAAACGGCCATTTTTGTATATTTAATAAAGTTTTACTTTAAACTTGAAAAAACTAAAACAACTGGAGCACTCAGGCAATTTCAGTGGACTACGCTTGATGACAGATGTCGGCGGAATTGGAGCTCTGCTTTTATATCAGACAGCAGCAGAGAACGTGAAGCAACTTTGTTGTTGTATGTTCTCGGCAGCAGCTGCTGAATGCCGGCAAACGCCAATTGGAAAAACAACAGCAACAATTGAAAATCATAGCGTTGCCACCAAGCGCTAATTATACATAAATGTTTGATATGATTCATTTGAAAATTACCGGACAGGAAATGCAAAATAGTTTTTTTTTCTTGTTTTTAACTTAACTGAAACAGGGCTGTTTCATAGAACAAATATATTAGTATGACGGTATTGATCTGATCACTCATATTACCAAATTAATCATTCACTAATTTTTTCATACAGTTAAGTACATAATTACCCAAACTATTTATATGACAATAGTCTGTATTAATTACATTGCCTGTCATAAATACAGCTTTGATTTATTTCTTACAATATTATAATAAAAATAATAAAATACTTTTTTTAAATATAAAGCAAATGCGTTAATAATAATACCATCCAGATAAGTAAACCGACAAGTATGCGCATACATATGTCTGTACGTACATAATTATTAATGCACGCCGCCAGTATGTATATGAATGAAGAATACAAGAATGAGAATTGGACAATGCCAAAATTATTACTGAAAAGGTTCATGCATACACACATACATATGTACATATAGTAGACAGAGCACCTCTTTGTAATATAATCAAGAGTAGCAATATATATTTTTCAAGCTAAAATTAAAATGATGCATATTTATTTATGTAAAGTGTGCGAAGATGCATACTTTATTATATGTTCATTTGCCCTTACCTATATATACAGACACACCCCGTACATACATAAAGTGCAAATGAGTATGAACTTTCAATAATAGTACCTTTTTTATTATTTATTAAATTGAGCTTTTCATTATAGTTGGTTATGGTAATATTTTTTTTTTCAAGTGAATTAATTTAGAAATTTTTTTAAGAATATACATATGTATGTACATATGTAATTTATGGAAAAAGCTTGGGAAAAACTTTGGACACGCAGCATTATATACTTACATATATATATAATTATGTAAATGCAAAATGAACTTTGTTTCAGTCTAAAGGAAGAGTAGGGTTTTTAATTATTTAAATTTAAGTCGATTGGAGAAAAATTGATAGTTTTTCCAGAGAAGGTATATTATATGATGATGATGATTTACGTTCTCTGGTTTTTCATCAGATATCAAATCTTTAAAGCATTTTCCCTACAACTCACGTATTCAAAGTCGGTGCCCCTGAAAACTTCAAAACTGTGGCACCGGTTGTTTTGAAATTTTGAACACTATTTCTATAAACAAATTAACTTGGTAACGCTGCAGAGTTTTTTCAATTTTTTTTTTGGTTATTCCTTTAAAGTCTTTCCAAAAATATAAAATTTAAATTTCTAAAAACCCCTGGGCATAGTGATTATCTAATGATAAAATTTTAATTTTTTGATTTCAAATGATACAGCACCTAGCACTCCAGAATTGCTACCATTGTCGTATTTTTTAATATTTCTCCATAGAAATTTAACAGAATATTCTTCAAATGTCATACCATAACAACGTTCATAGAACACAAGACAACCTTGACGTGATTAAACTAACATCGTCATACCTACACTGGGACGAATTTGAAAAAAAAAAAAATTTTTGGTTAAATCTTCTTTAATCTTAAGTTATGACTACCCTCTACGTCGCAATCGACAACCCAAGCCTTTTTTTAACTTTCATTTTTGGGAAGTCTTAAGAAATGTAAAGGGAAACGTAAGAGGAAGAAGTATTTCTGTGATATACTGATACAAAAGCAGTATTATTAATGTCCGATTATCCAAAATTTTACATTATGTGAGTTTCCTCTGCCTTAAGTTTGGCAACGTTATGTGAAATTTTGATATTTAAATATCTTCATAACATTCATATCAATTAGAGCGAAAATCATGCTATAACTACATATCATAGTTATTCTACTACAGATACATTATAATACTAAATATCGCTAAATAGATTTTAAACCCATAGAAACACACATGCATATGTATATGTATATAAATACATATGTATATATTGAACTATTGATTATATGGATATCATGTTTATAACATCGGCCATAAAGTTTATTGACCATAACAACGAGCTTCATAAAAGTTTCTGCAAGAATTAATTACCTAGATAGCCTAGTCAATTAATATATCTGTTATGACTACACTACAACTACAGGTTTCCTTAACAGTCATTTCACAACATGGAATTGATTATTTTAGTGCTCGATGTTACTCATGTTTCAGTAATTTTTTGCAATAAAATGTTTCGTACAATCCGAAAGTTTTGTTTTTTTAGCCCTTGGTCGTATAAAATCCGGTAACGTAGGACAGGCTCACGTGGGAATTGACTGAGCAGTCACTAAAGGTGATCAAATAATGGTTGTTGATATACAAAAAAAGGTTCAATATCTTTCGAATTAGTTTCCATGGCGAAAAATGTCAGTAAATTGCAACTCTTAGTAAGGACAAACATTTCAAAAATAAACAGAAATTGTTTACTTGTTTAAAATCAGAGAGTAATTATTAAAAAACATACGCTTTTTTAATTTCAAGTTTTGCCTCGAGCAGGATTTTGAACAACGCCTGGATAGTAATGACCACTTCACCCACTATCCTTATAACAAACCCTTATGAATTTATAAATATCACGCATTAAACATACTTATGTAAGTACGAACCTTATACCAATATACTTACTGTTTTATCAAACTACATTTTACTGCAAAATTAAAATTTATAATGTATAATAATATAGAATTTTAAGATAATTTTTTATTATTTTTTAGAAAACGAGCCGTAATATTGATATCACTTTCAAATTTTAATTACAATTTTGTTACGATTAATTTAAACAGAAATATACTAATATTAACGGCTTATAAAATATAAGTTTTTGATTTATAACTGAAGCTGGTTAAGTACGCTAAGAGCGTTATGAACTATCTATTATTTTGTTGAAAATTAACGGAATAAGAACCTGTGTTAGGATCTTGCTGCATCTGGAAATTCTCTGTGGATAAACCGAATGGTTTAAGGAACATATTACCAAGATCTTTTAGTTTGGAGAGCATCTCGGTTTTCAAACGCTCATTACGTTCATTAATTTGTTCCGGTAATCGTGAGACAGCATCCCGCGCTTCTCTTTGATTTGGTTCCAACTCACACACACGTTTATAATCCGCCAATGCATCTTCCAAGCGATCTTCGTTTTCACACAACTTTGCACGCCTTTCAATTAAAAATTATTTACTTTAGTACTTTATATACAAATATTTATTACAATTTCAATATTAACACTTACCTCATAAGTGCACGTACATAATCCGGCCATAACTCAATAGCTTTTGTGCAATCGTCTATAGCTGATTTTTTCGAGTCCAAATTAATTTTAGCAGCAGCTCGATTGCCATATAATATAGCACGCTCTTTGGTATAGGTTGTGGGACAAATGTGCAGAGCATTTGTGTATATTTCAACTGCTTTTATTGCCGCACCTGTCTTGAATAGCTCGTTTGCTTCCAATTTCATTCGATCTGATTCTTCTTTGTTTTGCTGCAATTCTTCGGAGCTCATGGTCTTTTCTCGATTTTGCAACTCTTCAATATCTATATCGTCGCTAAACAGTTTTGATAGCTCGTCAGTATTTTTGTCTGATTTCTGTTCTGCGTCGTCATTTTCTTCTTCATCATCATCAGGAAGTTTAAGATTTTCCTGTTGGCGTGTTATTTCTTCAATGATTTCTTTATCACTTTTGAGGTGTGACGAATTACACTTTGTATTGCTGGCTTCATTCGCAACGATTTCTGAGCATATACTTGCTTCTTTAACACCAGGCACCTCAGCGAAAGCGTCGTGAAATTCATCATCGCTATCTTTTGCTTCAGTCAAACCAGACATTCTTAATTTATGTTAATAGTTTTAGAATATATAACCCAATGCTAAAACTTTGAATTATTTTGGTACGCCTTACTACAGAGAGAAATAAAATAACAAAAACATATGACAAATCCATAGCATGCTGCCACCTTAAGAAGAAATAATCTTTAATTTTATTACAACATTTCATTAACGCAGCACAACCAACATTACATAGAATAGCCTTTCTTTCAATTATTCACTATTTAAAATAGCTATAAGTCTATTTTATTAAATACATAAAACAAAAATTTAGATTTTTCAATATTTATATTTCTCTGGAAGTGAATAATACTTATTTAAGCAATTATTTGCACAAGTGCTAACAATGTGAAACATGTGTTAGATATGTATGACTAGTCGATACATTTAACAATATCGAACTTATTTTGTATATCGAATCGAATGCTGATGCAATAGATGATACCATGTATATCAACTGATATTTCTAATGGTTTCTTAATAAGTCGATATCTTTCATCCTTTTCTTTAGACTAACAGCCGTGCCTCTCAAAAGATATTTGAAAGATGGTGTGCCCAAGTGAATCTACTGCTTCCGGGTTTGATTTCCTTAATATTAAGGACTACATTCTGGAGAAACATGTATCTCCAAAGCTGTCGGAGCCCATTTATTCGGTTACATTTGTGGATTGCTTGGTTGAAAACAAGGTTAGTGATTAAACAGCAATTTATATATACATATATTTATGTATTAATGGTTTCAGTTTTTCTCAAGCTCAAACATACTCACTCACAGCTTCAATGTACTGAGCTTGTTTGGCCGTTTGGCAAAACAGAAGCTGTACCAATGCAAGTGCCTGTTAAAGCGGCACAGATCTTGGCCGAAGCTGACGATGAAATTAAAGGAAAGCGGATATTGGAAATAACGCTTGATATGGTATCTTATGTGAACATTATGATGCAAATGTGCGTAACTTATGATTTCATATTATTTACTTTAGCAAACAGACGCAGAGTATTTTCAACCTGGGGATACAATTGGTATACTACCGAACAATAACATTAATGATGTGCAATTACTGCTGAAACACATGCACCTAACAGATAATATTGAAAATATATTCCAACTGCAAATTTCTGCAAAGTGCATCAAAAAAACTGCAAAATTGCCGACATACATTCCAAATCGCTGCACGCCATATCGATTATTACGTGACTGTTTAAGCATACATGCCATACCGAAGAAACAATTCCTTAATGTTTTAGCCAGTTGTTGTGAGGATAATGATGAACGAGCATTTCTAAGCAGCTTATCCTCAAAGGAAGGTAGTAGTTACTACAACGAACTAATTTTAGAACGTGGTCTTAAACTTATCGATCTGCTTAAATTATGTCCTTCATGTAAACCTAAATTAGAACTACTTATTGAACATCTACCGCGTTTACTGCCACGTCCCTACTCAATAGCGAATATGCCTATTGCGAATGATATAAAAGTTATTTTCTCAATACTCTCAGAAAAACCTGGTGTTACAACCAATATGTTAAACAATCTGGCGGCACCTTTGCTCAACGCTGCGGTTCCTTCAGAGTTGCCAAAAATTACAATGTATGCACGACAACCAAATCAATTTCGTTTTACTTCACAAGAAGCCAACGAAAGAAATCACATTCTAATCGGTGTAGGCACAGCTTTAGCGCCTTTTTTAGGTTTTTTAGAACTAAAGAAACAAGAGCTCGCGAACGCTACGTTTACCACGTTAGGCGACACGTGGCTTTTTGCAGGTGCCATAAATGAAACACACCTACCACACAGGGAACGTATATTAGCATATGAAAAATCTGGTGTGCTACAACGCTACTTTGAGAATTTTTCCCGGCTGCCGAGTGCCAGCTATCACTATGTTCAGGAACAATTATTGGCTCATGCAAGCGAATTTGTAGAATTTTTAATGCAAGAAAATACTGTGCTATACATCTGTGCTGATGGTGGATCGATATCGAAATCAATAGAAAAGTCAATTGTGGAATGCTTGGTACAGGTTAAACGTATAACACCCGATGAAGCGTCTCAAGAGTTAAAATTATTCAAAGGAAATGGCAAATATCGTGAAGATTTGTGGCTATAATTTACTTAAACTTGATATCAAACTCAACACATCCCGACTATGAGTCAGTTAAACATGAACATATATTTATTAAACAGAAGAGTCTCTTGAAATGTGTTTTATATGTACATATATAGAAAAAAATGTATAGTAAATGCTCGATAAATTTTTATTTTTAAAGTTGTTCGTAGAAATAAAAATCTTAGTTACAAGAAAATGATCGTTTTCTTGTGCAAATAATCAATGATAATAAATTATTTTTTGAATGTAGTCGGTCTTGAAGGATGATGCAATTTATAGAGTTGTGAATTTTTTATTTAAAAAATATTTAATTTTCCAATTTTTAATTCCGATTTTAAGATTTAATTTAAAAAAAAAATTAAAAATCAATTTTTAATCTAAACATCTTGGACGGGACACATGTAAATTCTAAAACCATTTCTTTTTTATATTTTTAACAATGTGCTTGCGATTTGGTTTTTGGGATTAAATTTTTTTTAATCCGGTATTTGGGATAAAAAATTTAAAAATTATTTTTAATTGTTATTATTTAACATTCTGTTATTTATGATAATTTAAAAAATGTACAAACTGAAACTTAGATAAAATATAGGACATCGTAAGTGTAGTTAAAAAGCATCAATCAAGTAACGCCAGAGCTAATTTTGGCTAAATTTTCCACCGTTCCCATTACAGTTCGATCTACATAATCGTGATTTATACCTGCCCAAGGACTGTCAACTTGACAAGCACTATGTTGAATGCCCCGTTATGTTGTTGTTGTTATTGTTGTAACGGTTATCTAGTCCCCGCTTGGATTATAAGTGATAGTTTGGTCGTCGTCGAGGTCATCTAACGAGAAACAGGCTGTTTCGACGGGGTTGGACCATAGGGAAAAGGGTGTTAGATGAGTTGGGTTTGTTGGGCATCCAAAGAGGTGGTTAGTTCTTATGCGTTATGTTCGAGATGTTCGGTGGACGAAGTCACAGGTAATAATAATACGACGCAAAGTTTCTTTTCTAAAAGGGTTCAGTTAGTATCTGTCGAATTCTGTATTCTGGTCAAAATGGGCAGGAAAAAATTTAAAGTGTCAAATGAATCACCGAGTACTTTCTGATTGTTGACCGACACTAATTCAACGTCGTCGGCTGAATGTAGTGTAGCTGTTAATTTTCTAGAGAAACGTTTTAGGGTTTCTCTAAATATTCTGCTTGCTTGTTGTTGTTGTGCCGAGTTGACAATCCTTGGCCGGATAAAAATCTGAGTCCGTTCTGCTTACGTAGACCCGACTGTCGTGAGAACGATCTAGTAGAATAAATCGGGTTTTACTATAATAATTTGAGTATTAGTTTTTAATCAGCATTTAATTATAATGTATTTTCTGCTTACTTTTGTTGGACTTGAAATTTCGATTAGTTGTTTACTTCTCAACTACAATATATGCGCATAAGAAATTTGTTTGTATGTGTATGTCCGTGATTGCTTACATTAAGTGTGACCGACTTAAATGTGCGAATAAAACTATGTTTATTTTTCAATTTATATATTTTTATTAATATTTTATTTATTACTTATTTTTGGCGATAAAATTTGCACACTACAGAAAAGTTTTCTATCAAAAAATGTGTTCTTATCAAAAATTGATAATAATACATACAATATACAGTACCTACATTACGATAATAATAAAAAAAAAACGATTTTAATTATTAATAATACACGGATATTGTGTCGGCATTTTACTTCGCTTGTCGCCAACACGTTGCATATCAAATAATTCTAATAAACCCATGCATACATATACATAAATGCGAATTTTTGGGTCGACGCTCCGAATGCTTTTGCTTACAGTTTTTTCGATTACGATTTTCACTTCTTTTTTTATTTTTTGTATGTATAAAATTTTTACTTTACTTAATTCTCTGTTACATTAAACATTTAAATACTGTAAAATTATTGGTTTTCTTTTTCATTTATTGCATAATTGTGGCATTAGTATGCTACTGTTAAAACTATGTATCTCTATGTATATATGTATGTATATAAAGAAATGGTAAATATTAATATCGTTGCTTATGCGTTGATTTGATTTTTCTCTCAATTGGGAGTTCACAAAAATTATTATTCTTATATATGGAAAGTGTTCATATATGTATATAATTATGTGGACAGCATTATACAAGTGGAATAAATAGAAGGTTATTATTGAAATAGGTATACTTTATGTGCATAAGATTTATATGATTTGCTAGCTTGCGAGAGAGTCAACTAAAATTGTAAAACGAAATCTTCAGAAAGCATCATAGATTTCAATAAAAATGAAGTGTAGTGAACTTCGGAAATTTATTAAAAGTTAGAGTTTAGAAATGTTAAGTGAATGCTTCAAGAAAAGCTATATTGCAGTTCAAAACCAATTTCTTAGCTACTGTAGGGATTTACAAGAAAATATGGTATATAACCAAATGGAAAGCGAAATTATTTAACCTCAACTACAACATTGTTAATCAAGAAAACTTTGCATACAATAAAATGTTATAATAGAATTTATAAAGGTTGTGTGGAGGGAAATAAAAAATATACATATCTATCTGCCTTGTAATAAGCACATTAGGGTCTGCATTATTTCTGAAGTTGATTGTTTTTTTTGCAAACGCACCTGCAGTTTTTGTTTTTTCCCCTAAAAAAGATCCAACGTAAATGAGATTTTTATTTTCAACATAAACCGTGACTAAAGCATATTTCTTTTCACATGTACATATTATATATAACATGGGATTTTGTGATATTTAAGTAAATCTACAACTTTGGAAAAGTAATACAAATTTTAATACACAATTTTCGCTCTACAAAAAACTTTTATGTTTTTTTTTTCATAAAAACATCCTTTTAAATATTCTACGCAGTTGAAATTATACATCAAATGACCTGAACATTCATAGAAGGATACATTGTGTGTTGCTCATACGACATGGTGTACTTTGTGAATACAGTACATTTGATGCATAACTTTAACTACGTATAACTGTTAAAGGAATGTTTTTATGAAGACCTTTTTTGGCTAGCGAAAAACTTAGTATTAGCATATCAATTTTTCAAAGTTGTAGTTTTATTTGCTTTAGAGATCCTTTATGTAGGGCAACAACTGAAACTTTAGGCGGCTTTTGCAAAAAAACAAATCTACTTGGAAAATAACGGACACCCTAAAGCACACGTTTGTTAATTATATTCTAACTATATTTCCGAATTTAATAATTAGCTACAATGAAATGTTGTAATGCATATACCACATACATATGTATTTATATCATATGTTTATATGTACATATCAGTAAATGAAATGCATTTAATTACCAATTATTACTAAATTGTGCGTTTTATAATTTTTTTTAGTAGCGCTGCAGTTTTTAAAACATTCAATTGCTGTTGAATTACTCAAAACCTTTAAATAGTTTATTGTAACAATCACAAAAACGTGAAAATAACTTATTTTATTATTTAAATTGAAATCTAATTGTAGTTGAAATAGTATATCTTGCATGCTAATCCTCTATGAGAAAGTCCATAATGGTAATAATATGTTTTGATTTGAAAAATTTAAGAAGTATATGTAGCGGATATAAATTCTTTAGGTGTGACACTATATTTTTATGATTTAAATTTATTAATTTTCAGCAATATGAAGTGTATCGGCATCGACTGGCAAGCGATTGCATAGCAGAAAAATGCTACAAATACTAATTTGATATTCTAACTTCAAAAAATGTGTTTAAATCCGCAGCACAAATAAAACACTTAAAATTTAGTTGTAGCGACACTGCATTATAATCGTATGCACCTCAAAGGTATAAGTGTTCCAATTTACTGGCTTAAGATTAAAATTTAGAATTTTTAAACATTTCAGCTGTGCTAAATCAAGCTTTTTAACCTACAAGCAAGTACTTGTATAATACATATTGTTTTTGTAGTACAATTAATGGAAAACTAACATTATAAAATTTGTACATATTTGATTATTGTGTGTATTTGAATATGCCTGTCTATAAAATTACAAATTTTGCGTAAAAAATGCCAGTCGAAAATGTTTTCTATAATACAAATGTGTTCTTCCTCATGCAAATATAGACGGAATCTATGGATTTTGAAACTACGAATTACAATAATGCGTTTTCAAGGAATTTTTACGAAATTTCTCTTTACATAGCTAAGTTAAATACAAATTGTGAACTTATTGCTGAACGTTATTGTCAACAACAACAATAAAATTTCGATTTTTCCTAAACAATTTAGTCCTAATGGCACTTTAGCTTACAACAGTATATAAAAAAAAAATTATAGAAGACTTACATGTATGTATATTTATTTATTTCAATTAGTTTATATGGTTCAAAGACAGCAAAAATCAATTATCAGACATCACAACTTGCACATTGTAAAGACTAAATTATAAATGCGTGTTGTAACAATATTTGACCCATTCATACACGCCCTAATGCCCACATATTTATTTTTATTATTATTTTAATTGCTATTCCTACGTATGTGTTTATGTATATATTTAATTGATGTCTCATTCTTTTAGTTTGAAATACAATCTTTATTTTTAATATGTTTAATTTTTTAAATTTGCAGTACTTATTGCATAAAAATGTCTCAATTAGTTTGATTTTTGCCTTCAAGAACCTACAACAACATCGCATAGAACAACTTTTTTTTCTGAATTTAACGTAGTTTTTAAGACATTAGATAGCTTTGATAAAATCGCTTAAATCACATTGATAGTAATTGATTATAAGTATTTACGTTTTGTATTACGCTCAATTGTTTGCAAGTTACGATAAAAGTGCAATTGCATTTATAGAATCAAAATAAATATTTAAACAATACAAATTATCGTAAAACTTAACTTAAAAACTAATAAAGTTACATATTAAATAAAGTACATACATATGTGTATAAATATAAATATGTATATTAAAAAAATTTTAATGTAAATATACATACAAGTTTATATATAATTAAAATGAAGTATAATAACAATAATTTTGGCAATGAAAATATCGCTAATCGTTCGTATATATAATATGTATATATATTTTCTTTTTTTCGCAAGTATTTATATACATATTTGCTTATGTATTGAAATGTGACTAATTTTTATTAAATTATAATTTTTTTAGTTACTCAGCTCTCACTTTCATCTAAACGTAAAGTGCAAAAATTATTGGCATTTTTGAGTCAAGTAATAAAGCATATATTTTTTGAAACAATGAAAAATAGGAATAAATTACTTTATTTGCATTTTTTAACTTTCTGCTTCTAAACTATGCTTTTTTACATATGAATTGAGTTGATCAGCTGAAAGAGTACAACCACTGTAAGAATTTATGACCAGACTATAGTCTTTGCTACGGCAAAAGTTGCGCATGTTTGATAGTTCGGTTTGTAATGATTACTTTGTATAGTCGGCTATTTGTTATAGAACTACATACATAGTAATTATCTTCGTTTTCATTATTTTTTCGATAATTAGAATTATTTATTACTACTGTTTGTTGATGTGCGTGTGTGTATGTTTAATAAAAAATATGGAAGTCAGACTTTGCTGATATTTCTCATAATGATTACTATTTAGTTGTAGTAGTAGTAGTTGCTGTAGTATTAATAATAGTAGTAGTTGTTACGGTGTTATTTTTTGTTGCTGCTGCTGATGTTATAATTAGACTCAAACAACTCCGGATGTTTCATTTCATGTAAGTTGCCGGTGGTGCGCTCAAAATTATCGTCTAATTATCTGAAAGAGATAAAATAATATTTAAATAAATGATCTAGAAATGAAATAGTAATAAAAATAGTATATAGAGTATGAGGTATTAACAACTTTAGATTTTTGAAGTTTTTCAACATCGACACTTTTAAGTAAACGGAACTTTTCAGAGTTCATTACTCCAACAACCTTTGATTTTTGAGAGATTCAATGACTTGACGGTAATATAAAAAAACCTTATTTGGAAAAATCCATGGATATACAATAAAAACATTTACAACAATTTGCTAAAAAATTTTGTCAGCTTCATTAAAACCCTAAACCTGTCAGGCGGTAAAATGAGGTATTATTGTAAATGTTGTTTTACTGATTAGGAAATCAAGACTACCTTCCATTAAAACTTATTTTCACTTCATCATAATATTAATGTATTGAAGCCTTTTTCATTTAGCATAATTAAGAGAAAATAATGCACATTTGAATAACTCACGTTAACTATTTGGGTATAAATTATATGAAATTTTTTTAATAAATAATTCTTAGTTTTTGTTTACAAGTAGAGTCCTTCTTTTATTTCTGGCAAAGGACTGAATATATTAGGTTAGGTTAGGTTAAAAGGTCGATCCTAAGGAGAATTACACTTGGACAGCTTAAACGTAACAAACGTGTTGAGTCGGCCAATATCCGTTTCGGCCAAGTCTTCTGGTCCACCGAAAGTATATAGTCTAGCAAAAGCCGGACAGTGGAGGAGACATTTCGACACCGGCTTGATAGTATGAGTTAGTTTTCATCTTTATCTATTAATTTGAATGCAATCTTTTTCCCGTGAGCCACTTTTTTCGTCTGGGAAATAGTGAACACTCGCTATAGCTCAATTACCGCATTTGAATGGCGAATGAGAGACTAGTTCATAGAGTAATTAATTCAATCGCGTCACGAGCTAAATAAGCCAAATCGTTGACATGATATTAAAAAACGCTGCAGACATCTCACGCATAGCTTTATCGTAATACCTACTACCTACATATATTTTGAGAACAATTACTTAGGAGCGAATGTAAGAAACTTCAAGAGAGATTTTATGTTTGTAGCGCGTCCACTCCATCAGATCCAAGAATTTTCAACCCAAGTAGTATAACTGAAAGACTCTAATTATGCTACTCGCATTATTTTTAGAATTTCGTCATGCACTTGTTTGTTATCGACAACATTACAATCCGTTATGACGGCAATAACTTTTTATCATTCATCCCAAAAACGTCAATGTGGTAATACAACGAAATGAAAAAATAACAGCTGACTTGATTATTACCATTATCATTAATTGCCGTTACTTCATTAATTTTACATGAATATAAAACATTTCATCACTTTATCAACTAGAAAATATTACTTACTAAATTTCTGTCCCTAATAGCTTTCATTACTAAGAAGCCGCTGTATTGAAACAAAATAATGTGCGGTAAACGCTTAGAAAATATACATATGTGAACGCTTATATAAAGCTCGCGGAAATTCCAGCACTAACTAGTAGTATAGCTCGACAATTTTAACAATAAAGCAACGTGTATTTGCATTGTTATATTTTATTATTGTGTGTCAATAATTCACACAACCGCAACATATACTATATTTAAGTAGTAACAAAGTAATCGTATACAGTGCGCGACATATTATCAAGTAACATATACATATTATAGCAGTTAATTTATAAAAATAAATTGCAGTTGCAGCAGTTGCAGTTTGATACTAATTAATATTCGTGTATAATTAAGGAAATATTATATTTAAATGTTTATAGTTTTGGTAACAATTTTATAAGTTTAAGAATAATTCTTCATTTTGAATCGTTCAAATGGGAATTGCATTAATATAAAACAGCAGATATCGATATCATCTAGCAACTACATAGAAAGAAATTCAATCTAATTATGTTCTTTTGCAATTTTTATTAAGATAAAAAAAAATTGTAAGAAAATGTTATTAGAAAATATTCATTAATTTACCGAATGTTTGAAAACAAAGAAATACTGTTTAAAATTATGGAAACTTGTTTTATAAACAATTTATTGCTCATTTTTTCGTTTAAATCGTTAACCTTGTATTTATAAGTCCATTTCCTTCTTAGACAAGTTGAAAGCGAAAAATTTGATTTCGCTTGCCTTGCCCAAGTTAAATTGTTAAAAGTGATGACTTTTTGAGGGTTCTAGACTGGCCTATCTCCTTAAATACAAACTTTGAAATAGCTAAATATATGTACCATGAAGAATAAGAATTCACCCTGCTGGGAAACACGAACCGGCCCAACAAATATGTATGTATATTTGAGGTAGTAGTGTCATTCTTACCAGTTTTGTGACAGGTTTCATTCAATATAAGTAGGAGAAAGGTGTCGGCTATCTAAACTAAACCTGTACCGTGTGCTTCGTTGATGCCAGCATGGGCATTTTTGACCTCGTACTCGCAGATCACAACTTTAAAATCATGCGTTTTACTCATTGAACACGAGCCAATAAATTTTGTAGTAGAGCATATCCTTGCAAAGTTGTGCAGAGAGTTCCAATAGAGCACTTACAAACATAGTATGTACTAATATTTACGTCTGTATAAATTTATATGTTCGCAAAGAAATGCTTCAACTCCCGCAAAAGCGCTTCATTTCACATAGGAATGTACAATACAAAAACAAAGCGATTATTTTCACCAATTGCCGTTGAAGTTTTTTCCACTTTTATACATACATACCTATGTGTACTTATACATTTGCAAAGGCCTCAACTCGAGGCGGCCCATAGCTGATAAATATAATTATTACGCTGATAATTGACGCTGGTGACGCCGATGCCGCTGCTGTATGCGATATTATTATACATATCCATATATCATCTATATTATATGGTATAGGTATATGTTCATAATGCACACATGAATTGCAATGTTTTGCTTTAAATTTATATAACAAAAAGTTCGTAGTTTTCCAGCGCTCGTTATTAAATTTTTTTGTGATTATTGTTTCACAATTGAGTTGAGTTTATATTTTCATGTTATAAAAGCTGCTTTATACCATATTTTGTCGGTTGACGAATTTTGTCTGCTTGATTATTGAATATGTGCTTGTGCATGTTCTTTGTAATCCGCGGGCAGCTTTACTAGCATTTTATTGACACATGTACTATATATGTACATATGTATGTTGGCATATGATACTATTAGTTATTATAGTAGTATTATACAAACTAATACTTTAACTATGATCCAATCTTTGTAAGTACTAGAGCAGAGAAGATAACCAAGATGGCAGTCAGCTACCAGCTTTCGAGCGAAAATCGTACATACAAGTATAACTGTCTGAAACAACAAATAAAATTTAACACTTTGTTGTGTTTTTATTCAAAGAAAACATCTCTATATATCTACCCGGCCACCTCGGTTTTCGAGCTTAAAAACTTATGAAATCGGCCCATACGTTCCCCTGACCTCTATATATCCACTACAATGTTCTTTCGGGTTTTCTGGTTGAGAATAATCGATTAACGATTTTTGTTAAATAAGAATTTTGAATTCATGGTCCACATTTCTTATTATAATATTTGGAAGCAGCTGCAAATATTTCTACACCCTTGGTTCTAACATATTGTGCGAGTATATAATTTACGGTTGCGATCTAATCCTTTCCTTACTTGCTGTTTTACTGCTTTTGTAAACATTTTCTTATTTGGTCTTAAAATGTTTAACTTCGACGTTAACTGGCAATAATGTTGATCTTAAACTAAGTCTATCGCATTCAACGAACCTACTCTTCTGGAACTTGATTAAGGTTTTCGTAACTAAAGACACCCATTAAAAGACAGGGACTTTGAGAAGCGTTTTCATGAAGACAACAAAAGATAACGAATGATTAAAAAAAACTTTAATTACTCCAGTAACCTATGTACTACATACATTTTTATGGGTATCTTTTCTTCCCTTCTAGACAACTTTTGATAAACACAGTTTACGCATTTTCACATTTTTTGTTCCAATTGTATCAAATTCCTCAATCAATCATAACATGACAAAGTGGATTTATTCTTTAACGTACATATCTACTAATAGTACAAGCAATGGCCGACGAAATATGAAAAACTTATATAATGGACTAGAAGGCCACAAAAGAGATATGACCCAATCTTCGATCTATGTCGATACTGCGACAAAGGCATAGAGACACCAGAGCACATACTCTTTGATTGTCCAACAGTCGGAAGAAGAAGGAGTCAAGCTATCAGACAAATGAATCCGGTGGGAGACCACATCACAACCATTAATCCCGCAGCTTTATTAAGCAGTTTATTCAATACGCGAATATATGTCAATAAATCAGCGCAATAGATGTAGAGAACAAAAGTCAATGAAATAGCAAAAACTAGTTTAAATGAATTGGGCGAAATCATTAGTGACTGAAAAATGGTTTAACCTTTATTTAGAACTACATTCTTATTTAAAAACAGTAAACAAATCTTACCTACAACAATACTAAAAAAAAAAACACAATGGAAGCTACCCTCGATATAATAATTCGATTTAAATCTTGAGAATATAAAAATACTAAGTTGAATTAAGTTTTTTGTAGAATTGTTCATGGATTATGTATGCTATGCATTTTTTGTTAATATTTATTATTAATTAAAAATAATAATGTTAAAGAAACAAAATATATAATCTTGATATGTACTTTTAAAAATGTATATTGGTTTCAACAGAATCTCAAATGCCATTATATCGTTTGAATCGAATTAAAACTGAATTCTTTTGCGCCGCGTTTTCAAACGCATTCAGCAAAAGTGTTTAGGTAAAATAAAGAAATCAATACAATCCATTTACACTGTTTGCAATTAAAGCGTAAATTTCCCTGTGGAATTGCTTATCTATTTTACTACTGCTGCATACAATTAGTCTGGCATATATTAATATATATTATATTTGAATATACATACATATGTCGATGTGTGTATGTATGTATATAAGTAAGCCGTATATCGTTTAAT